TGCCTAGCCGCCACCGCCCACACTACTCGCCTTGTATAAACAACTATAAACCACCTAGCACAGTGCCAGATAGTATTGTCCTGTATATCCTACTACTCAAATAATCTACTCCTACACAACCTTTTACATATTAATATACAAAGTGTTGAAACATACTGTATATTTTTTCTCCAACAACTTTTTGTTCTTTGAGTTATGAAGTAGACTCCAAAGAATATGGGTTAACATAATTTTTTGTTCCGCATTTTGCATAAATTTTCATGTTGATGTTGCCCTCCAAGAGTAACGTACACAAAAACAACCCTGCCGGATATCCAGCACTTTGTGCAAAATGTACGCCATCCTGTACGCTGGAAACGAGGTTAAGTGATCCCCTAGGCCCACTAATGCCTTTTCTTAAATTTAACCCTCTCACACACCTCCAAAAAAGCAGAAAAGAAGAAAAATTTAAATGTGTAAAAACTAGCAAGCTCCAGATGAAATCACTTGGTTTCTGACCCTCGACAGTGAGAGTAATCAAGTTAAACTGTGGTCTCTGCCGGCCGCAGTCAGCTGACTACATAATTAACAACGTAAAACCCGAGAATTGATTTTCGTTTAGGTTTCGCACGGCAACTTTCCGGCGCCGCACGCGCGTGGCGAGTAAATATTTAATGAGCTTTGCAGTTAATGTCTTTTCTATCTGACAAAATCTTCTCCGTCGCCTGACGCCTGAATTTGCTTTGGTACATATGTAATGCTCGGGCGGGCGAGCGGCAGCTTTACGACCAAAGTTGAATTATGAAAGGGTTTATGAGCGAGTTTGTCCGCGCTAATAAGGCGGATGGTTTACTATCATGATTTCATGATTGCGTTCGGCCCCGGACGAAATTCGTTTAGCTACGGTCGTGTCTAGAACTATGCTTTTGGTCAGAGCTTAGTCCATACAGAATACGATAATCAGTCTTACATACAATGTGTTTTAAGTAATTAAATACAGGCACAATTTAAATTTTCTACTAAAACATAAAAATAATTATTTTATTAATTTTTGAGGACAAAAATTTGATTATACATTTTTTATTCATAAAAACATGCTGTATATAGTATAGTTTTTAGACATGCTCGTAGGCTTGCGGCCAGTGCTTAATTAATCCTGGTCCGTTGTCGACCGGCAGCTTTTGGGCATTCGGTGCTCTACTTTCCACATTATTGTATAAATTATTCCCTCACTTTTCACATTTCCGTATTAAAATATCTTCGCCATCCTTGGTAATTAGCGAAAGAATAAATCATAACTATTTTTATTAGGAAAAGAAAGAATCAAATTGTTATTTTTTTATTTGCATGAATGATTGTTGTTCTCAGGAATCTCCTGATAGCAGGGCACGTTAATTAAAATTGTTTAATTAACCAGACGAGATCCCGACGGCGAAAATTCTTGGTATTTCGAGTTGTTCGCATTGTTATCAAGTTTCTCTCAGATTATTGATGTTTTGTTCTGCAAATCACATCCGTCTAATAATATAATGGCCCTTGAGGAGAACAAATAATTGGAAGAAACGTAATTATAGGTTATGTACCTGTTATAGGTTAAAAGTAATGTCATCTTTTGAAAACAAAATAATAGAAAAATAAATAAATATTTAGAAATAAACCTCTGCATCCATCTTTATTGTCCAAACGGAGAACACTTGTCTATTTACGCGCGGATGCTGCGTGGCTCGAAAGAAACAACAAAAACTACCCTACATAACCTACAAACCGAGTATAAAGGCGCGCAGAGAATGAAAGAAAGCGGCATTTCATATCGTGACAAGTCGGCGCGGTCGCCGCGAGCGCGTAATGCTGAATATAAATAAAGCGCATACAAGCATGTAACAACATAACTCATTTCGCGTTCTAAATGAAAACGTACATCATGTACTCGACGCGCCCGCTTGATACTTGTTTACATATCTCTTACAGATGAAGCATGCAGAAATGAAAAAATTAAAATACAGACAACGAGGTTAGCTGAATAAATCAGAGATAAATACAAAAATATATAAAATGTGTGTTATATAATTGAATAAAAGTTGTAAAATGGCAAACTATAGTTTTCCAATTAGTTGCACAAAATCAACAACTTTATGATCGCTAACAGTTAATTTAATAATAAATATGATTTATACGTCTGTGCACAGAAATGTCTAAAATTGAGTTTTAAATTTAAAATGAATATAAACAAAGGTAATATTTAAACAAAACGCCATCATGCCCGATTGCGTTCCGGAAACGCGCGTAGCTCGGTGTTATATAAAGGCAGTTCTCATTTATTTTTATTTTTTCAAGCTCTTTGCTCTCACGTACGCTTCGACTCCCACGCCGTGCTGTATCTAACCTCACACCATTTTGTTCTTTCGTTTGTTCGTGTTCACGTTATGCGCATTATTCGCCCTCTCCTGACGCACAACCTCTGCAAGCACAGCGTTAGCAGTGAACGAACAACTCCTGCGACTAGTAAATTTCGCCGATTCTAAATTGCTTTGCCCTTTTTCGAATCGCGCTTTTTTTCACAGCGCTATGCGCCCAGTTCCTTTATTACTCCTCCGGCGCGTTCACAAAGAGTTTTTCCACAAAGCGCAGGTCAGGATATGCGAAAAAAAGCAATTGCAATTAGCTCTCGTTAAATCGTTAAATTGCTATTCGTTGTAAAACTTGATTTTTGCCAGACTCACAAAAAAAAATGTACAAAAAATTGCGTTTTGAGGTCAAACATTGAAATTTGTTAGGAAAGTTATTTCCAATTCGATACGGGCGGGTATCTGTACGATTACCGACCTTTTATGCGAAAGTTCGAAGTCGTCGGTGGGCTTCTGGCGTTTCGTTTTTATCCGGAGCGAACAATTTCATCCTCCGGCTGCCCGAATTTGCGCTCACGGTTTACATATAACACTTATCGCCTCTCGCCCGGAGAGTCCTTTGGGCCGAAAGGTTTTTACCATTTTATCGAGCCAGGGGCGGCAAACGCGTTGCTGCTTTGGGGCCAAACTATGCGCAGATAGCCTTTTCGACCCCTCTTATTCGAAACCCAGCCGAGCGTCACACCCATATTCTTCAATTCGGCGCAAAGTGTGGGCAAATCGAACGGGATGCTCCACAGCCTACACACAACGCACATGTTGATAAGGATAAGCGTTAGTATATGGGTGGTTTTATTTTACGAGATGGAATGGGTCTTAATGGTGCGATTTGCATATTTGGCAATCAAACAGAGGAAAAAACAGAATTTGGCTAACAAATAACTTTCAACAGCCATCTATCGGCATTATATTATACTACAACCACCAATACGTTCCTAATTCCTAAAAATTATAATAAGAAATAATAAAAAGTCTGTTATAAATCCGGAAACGTTAAATACATCACGTTTTCTTACCAGCATGCATAAAATAAGCAATATAACAAAGTTTACTCTCAAGTTTACGATAATGCCTTGGTTGTTCATGTTTGCGCACGCTTGATTGCTATTTATTTATATTTTTGCAATAAAAACACGCTGGCATAAAACAAGCAACTCACACATATTGCTCTCGTTCATTTTGTTCGCAACTTTAAAACGCAATATTATTATAGAGGCCATTCGCGCTTATTATATGACTTTACGTCTTTAATTTACCAAGTTTATGACGCACTCAAAGCTGTCGACTGTCTTCGCTTCTCGGTTGATATTCTCAAGTATCGGACTAGGGATAATACATCCCACCAGCCGCTTTACAGCCTTGTTTATTGCTCGAATTAAGAAACTATTCGCATTTATAATAAAGTTATACGAGTCTCGTAAACACCGCAAACAAAATACACAATGAAAAGTTTTACACACAATAAGCAAGCGTAAAGTTTAAATAAGTCTAAAGAACTGTTGTATTATAGAGAAGCACTTATGCTACTCGTACTTACACCTAAGTATTTTATTGTGCATGGCGCTATTGTGCTATTAATGCCACCTGTCGAAAATTATAGAAAACTTTGTTTGTTACTAGTTTGGTTATGCACACGATTACCAAGATATGCATGCGCGCTGACGAGGGATAATAAACAAGGATTGTTTAAATATTTACGAAATTAATGCTCGCGCACTCGCGCGCGAAACTTTCTTAATTAAAGCGATACGAAGGCAGCACGACACTTTCGCCTGGTTTCGCCAACGCTGCGAAACGTATGTGTATATATATATGTGTGTGTGTGTAATTTTGCGTGTAGATGGCGCAGTAAATTTCTTGCGTGCCGCCATATCAACAAACGCATCGCAGCCGGGCCAAACAAGAAATTTTCGTTGCGATGCGGTCGTGTATAATCATGCGAAATTTGCTTAATTACTGCTCTAACTGATGCCGCCCCCTCCAAGCCACTGGAAACTTTTGTTGTAAACTGAACAACACTCGAGCAAAACTTTTTAAGTATATTAAACTAGTAAACAACAATATTGTGCTTTAAACTTTAATCTCGTAGTGAATATATGTCTATAACTAAAAATTAGGCAACTTTATGTACATGTCATCGAATAAAATAAAACATCAGCAATTTTTTGTCGATACTATTACTTTTTTTTATTTTTGTGTAAGGATAAATCAAGGACGTCCATCAAACCGGGGAAAAACATAAATGTACACGACTCACGCCAAATGATCGTCGAAATAGTTTAGCTGTTCACTCGCCCGTCGTCCCTTCGATCACGCTCTATTTATCACAATCAGATAAAGAGTTATCAAATTTATATCTTTATATCTTTCTTGACAGGACTCCTTCGTTACTTCCGTTATCTTTTAGTTTTTTCTTCTAAATATGCTTCGTCCATTCATTCAACGGAATATCAGTTATAAACATAAATCAAACAAAATAATCTGCTTGTTTTGCATGAATACATTCAACTCGTAGTAGGGAGTTTTATTTAAAAGCGGAAATAATTCCTATGAATGCCATAAAAAATAGATTTTAATATGAGCGACCATTAATTATGCTGAAATTTATTGTTTCAGAGAGTGCGCTTCTTCGACGTTATGAACCTGTCAGACCCTTCTGGGGGGCGCGCGTGATGGACTCAACCAAGGAGTGAACGCGAGGAACTCAAGTGAAGCAGCCGGAAGAAGAAATCGTAAATAATACGAAATTTACGCGTCAAGAATATAAAATGAAATCGTTGTGCGGGCTGATACTGCTTGTTTTCCTTGGTTTCGTCTATGCTGACGACTGTACCACGTAAGTAAAAAAAATATTTTGTGGTAATACAACATCATAACCTATATTTTCAAAAATTAATCCTGCTTGATGAATTTCCTTTACGAAACATGGAAAGTTGTCCTCTGAGAGGCCACAGAGTGCATATTATCATTGATTGCACAGTGCACTCGGTCGGCCGTGTGTTATGCGCAATGAGTTTATGGAGTTTATGCATTATTGCGGTGCTTGTTAGCAGTCCCCGACGGTCAACGCGGGAGTCAACATTGTTAACTTTTGGCAATTGTCATGCACACAGCTGTGCTCCGCATGCATAACGCGAATGGATTTGTTGTGCACGTCGTCGAGGGTAGCGCGTGACTCCCGATGCAATTTTCGGACCGAAATTGCGCGAGGAATATTTGATCAGTTTTGGCTTGCTAACGTGTTCCCCGGTTGATGCAACCCTCCAAAAACTTGTTTTTCATATCAAGATTGGCATACTACATAGTTATGACTGAACGATGCAATTTTGAACAATTTACATGTGCATTTGGTTGCCTATGTTATGTGTTATATATGCTTCAATTAATGTGGTGGTGTTGTTGCAAATTAAAATCTGAGATAAAATTTTTATTTGTTTGAGCTAATGAAAAACTATTTGCGCATTCAATGAAGGTGGAATTTGTACACATTTGTAACCGTTTTGCGTTTCACTGCGTTTTGTTTTACGATTTCGCCATCGTGCGAGCAAATAACGGCCGCAATATACAAGTTTATGAGCATATGCATACATTGCGCACGTACGGTCCCAGCAGCGTCGGGGTGGAAAAGTTGGAAATATCCCGATGCGAGCATATAAAAGAGTGGATTTTAAACGAATTTAAATCCACAGCAGCCATGCGGCGGTGGACGGTGTACAATTCGCCTCGCTTTCATAAACATACGATCGCATAAACTCGCTGCTCGTTTGCTTCCCTCTATTCTGTTTTTCAGTTATTCTGTTATTGTATTCAGAAATTCGAAATGTTTGCTCATTGCCGCCTCGCGCCTGCATTTGTTCTGGGCGCGGTGTTGTTTTAGGGCTGTTTGCGAACGTACGCAAGGCGCGCTCGCTTTTTTTTTCGTTTTCGTACACCAGCCAGCGCGTAGGGAGGACAAAACGAAACGGACAACAAATTTAGATTTCAATTAGAGATACACCTCTGTACAGCACCAGCCTCACAAATTTTGTATTATGGACAACAAGCACATAGAATCTGATTTATATTTCAGCATTTGCAAATTATTTAAACCATGGGAAAGGAAATGAATCATTAATTATTATTAGTGTTGTAAAACTAAAGTAAATAGGATTATAATTTTAAATGAAAAGGATTATCTATATTATTAAAATAAATCGCAAAATCTGTTGGTAAGCGCATAACTCAACAACGCCTAGACCAATTTGGTCAATTCTTTTTTTTTAATGTTTGATAAAGTCCAAGAATGGTTTTTTCGGCAAGAAAAATTTGAATATATACCGGGGAAACCATAAAAAGCAGTCCTTTTCTATAGGATACAAGTTGGCATTGAGCTACAATCATAGTTATAGTTAAATAGTTGAATGCGAGATGACGCGCTGAGGTGCATTATTAGCAATTCTTTATATAATTAATTTCTTTAAAATAAAATTGCGAATTTTATTGATCGAATTGACATATACTATGTCTAGAACAAGAGAGTAAAAACGAATTACATTTTTATTAAACACTACCGGACAAAGTCGCGGGCAAAAGATAGTTCAATATCATTTTTAATTATTTATACCAAACGTAGGCAATTCAAATGTCAAATACTAAAAGTACCTACATAGATTGTTTTGATAGATTTTTACAAAACAGTAAAAAAACTAGGTTAATAATTCTTTCAATCACTTTATTTCTTTGCAAAATGACCATTACTTCAATCTAAATAACTTTTCAAGTTGTAAGAATTTTACATAACTTTTTTATGCTCCAAGTTATTTCTGCTTCTTAACATCTCAAAAAGAGGACAACATTCAAAAGCTATAAAAAGTACATTTTGTATCAATATTCTTGTGAATGTTTGGGTCGTGTTGGTTTTGATAACACGATACTAAACTGCAGATTACAACATTGGCGCTCGTTTACACCCCTTCTCAATGTTGGTACCGCAAGCAGCAGGGTAGAGTTTAGAGTTTACGGCAATCGCGAACAATACTGTGGGAGTTGAGCAATCTCGGTTTTAGCGACCCGTTTACTTTCTTATTTATACCTTTCCGCTTTTAGTGGTCGGAGGTGTTAAATCTTGGCTGGCACTGCTCCCGTTGCCTTCGTCAAGAACAACCTAACGACTCGTGTCGAGTTTTATCACTTAACAATTTACAAATCTTTACTAAACTACTGAATTTATTAAATCAACTCAACGTTTAGTACCTACTACTACAACAATATTTGAGCAATAACTGTTTATTATCTGCAATATAAAACTGAATCGCAAAATCTGTAGGTAAGCGCATAACTCAACAACGCTTAGATCAATTTTGTCAATTCATTCTTTAAAATGTTTGTTGAAGTCCAAGGATGGTTTGTACGGCAAGAAAAATTCGCATAATTGCCGAGAAAACACTAAAAACAGCTCTTTTCTATAGGATAAAAGTTTGCATTGAGATTGAATCATAGTTATAGTTAAATAGTTGGATCCGAGGTGGCGTGCTGAAGTGCATTATTAGCAATTCTTTATATACTTAATTTCTTTAAAATAAAATTGCGAATCTTATTGATAGAATTGACACATACTACGTCTAGAATAAAAGAGTAAAAGCAAATTACATTTTTATTGAACACTCGCGGGACGAAGTCGCGGACAAAAGCTAGTAATAAAATAAAATATAAATTATTTTAAAAATTTTACAGAATAATTGCATTACATTGTGTTATTTGATTTGACAGAAGGTATGATATACACAAAATAGGAACGTGTCTCTATTTTCGTGTTTCCTAGAATTGGTAGATTGAAGGGTTCGGTTTGGTGAATCGTCGATATTCATCGACGTATGCAAATCGTCGCATTTCAATGCGTTCGTTTGACGATCGTTTCTGAGCGCCGACGATATTTGCATAACCAACGAAGGCTGACTGCAACTACGCAGCCAACATTTCGCTATTTCTCTTGCGTATCGGAATTTTATTTCGGTTCGTAGATATTTGTATACGAAATATATAAATATTGAAATAAAATTTTGTTTAAAAAATCGTATTCATAATATTAATCTTCTTCTTTAAATTTATAAACTTCGTACTAGCTTTTGCCCGCGACGTCGTCCCGGTAGTCTATCTATATATATAAATGAAACCCGTTTCGCGTGGTCAAGCCATCACATGAAAACGGCTAGACCGATTTGGCTAATTTTTTTTTGGCAGTTTTCTAGTACTCTGTAGATGGTTCTTACTGAAAAAAATATTAGGAAAATGACTCAGAAAGATTGAAAAAAAAAAAATAATACCCTTTTCCCGTTGTCACGCCATCTATGTGTGAGATTTCAGAACGCATATACAAACTTCGCATGACTTACTTAGTAATCTGTGGTAATTTGTGACATACCCGCCGCGCCAACAATATTGACCGGTTGATGTATTTGTTTGGAGAAGGAAAGTCGCTTTCTCTGTCTGTCCCTTTGTATGCTTAAATCTTTGAAAATACGCAACGGATTTTGATGCGGTTTTTTACTTCCGTGCCAAGCCGGGGCGGGTCGCTAGCGATGTGACTGGCAGAGAATGCCTTACGGCATTAAGTCCGCCTTTTGTACAATATTATTTTTTGTGTAATAAAGTGTAAATAAATAAGGCGGTATGAAGTTCGCCAGGTCAGCTAGTGTTTAATAAAAATGTAATTCGATTTTACTCTCTTGTTCTAGACATAGTATGTGTCAATTCTATCAATAAGATTTGCAATTTTATTTTGAAGAATTTAATTATATAAAGAATAGCTAATAATGCACTTCAGCGCGCCATCTCGGATTCAACTATTTAACTATAACTAAGATTGAATTTCAATGCCAACTTTTATCCTATAGAAAAGGGTTGTCTTTAGGGTTTTCTCGGCAATTATTCGAATTTTTCTCGCAATAAAAACATTCCTTGGGCTTTAACAAACTTTTAACAAAAAGAATAGGCTAAATTGGTCTTGGCGTTGTTGAGTTATGCGCATACCAACAGATTTTGCTATTCAGTTTTATATTATAGATTTATAAGAAAGAAATTTGGCTGTATTCTTCTAAATTAGTTGAAAAATAGAAATAAAATCTAGTAACACTGTGTTGAAATAAGAAATGAAATATTCATATAATTTAATGACTTAGTGTAAAATTGATGATACTCTGTATATTTGATTCTGCCGGAGATATAAACAACATTATGGTTGATCCTGTTTTTGCCGAGAAACTTAATTTCCGGATCGCCGCCGCCCGAATTTGTTCATTCGACGATGTGAGAGCATCGCGTGGAAATTTGAAATTTATACGCGCATGAATATTTGACGCTGGTCGCTTTCCATCCAAAATGTAGAAATACAATTTATTAAATATTATTTTTGCTACAAACAAATATATTCGTAGGTATTTTAGTCCAAATGCAACAAATGTGTGTAATTATGTAGATAAAGAAAATTATGCCTCAACCGCTTGGGAATTAACGTAAATAACATTTATGTTGATAAAATTGTTCTATAATTTTACTAAATATTAAAATATTTCTTTTTTCCGGTATATATACGCAATCCATTTTGAAACAAAAAAGAACGCACATTGACATGAAGTATTTAGTGTTTTCTTTGTTGATTTGCTGTGTAGTAAGTGTTTAAATTATTATTTTATTACATTTAAGTACATTTAATGATTTTCTTCAGGCAGCCCAAAACAATGTCTTGCAAAATTGTCTCATGACAAATTTAGAACCAGTCCAGAAATGTGAAGAAGTTGCAATCTTAAAAACCATGTTTTCAGATATTAAGACTTTGGAAGAGAACATAACCAATGAATACAAAATATATTCAGATTGTCAAGATATACAATGCAGGGGTCGATTTTTTTTCAGAATTTTGGAATTATTAAACAACTTCAACGTAAACGTTAATAGCAAAGTCGCCGAATTAAAGGAAGTATTTGATAAAGGCGACTTTTGCTTTATCAACACTTTAAGGGACATTGCACCCACTCTACTCCAATGTCTACAGCCGTAGATTTACGATTGAATCGCAAATAAAAGTTTTGTAAAGCAAAATACTGAATAAAAGTAATAAAACGACGGAAATCCGATGAAAATCTATCTACTGTCCGAGGGTCAGGGTTATAACTCACTTCCACAAGGATAACTCCTTTTAAATAGCGACAATAAATCATTTTCAGCAAAACACATAAAAAATAATTTATTATTCAATTTTTGTTTATTCTTTCCCGCTAGAAAATTTTGTAAACAAAATTGTGCGTCGAGTAAATTCGGTAAACGTTGTCTGCATTATTCAACGCACGGTTTTTCTTCTCAACATAAAGAACAAGCAAAAAATGTGAGCAAACATACAAACATAGCGCTTGTAAATAAACATGGCGATGGAACATCGACAACAAAATGGCCCCGAACAGCATCACCAGCAAGAATGACTGAGCGATGAGCACACAATGAAAATGAGCGAATGTCATATTAAATTTGCTACGAAAACATATTTGTGTTTGTGTTTGCTGCTAAGGCTGACGGTTGAAGGATGGCCACGAATGGTGAAAGCATCCTAGCATTAAGATCTGAGATGAATGGGAGCAGCAATACTCATAGTGACGAAAAGAGGGAATGATTGCTTGTCGAGATAGAATTTCTTGCTTCATTAAAGCCATGTCCTTGTCCTTGGCACGTAATCTGGCAATATGTTCAATGTTCACATTCCGCCCGCTTTGTATTCACGGCAATGTCTTGGCAAGGGGGAGAAAGTTCTAGTTCAATGTCTTTGATGTGTTCTTGGCTTGTGAGTGGGACAGAAATTTGTCAAAATTATCATCTACTGCGCTATAAATCTTGACGTCACAATGGAAGCATCTCTTACATATTAATTTTATTTATGAGTCTGGTTTTAACATGACATGTTAAAAATGTCAAAAGTTTTAATTTATTGGGTAATCAAGTCTCAATTGTCGAGGTAGTGTTTAATAAAAATGTAACTCGTTTTTACTCTCTTGTTCTAGACATAGTTGTGTCAATTCTATCAAAAAGATTCGCAATTTTATTTTAAAGAAATTAATTATATAAAGAATTGCTAATATTGCACTTCAGCACGCCATCTTGGATTCAACTATTTAACTATAACTATGATTGAATCTCAATGCCAACTTTTATCCTATAGAAAAGGGCTGCTTTTAGGGTTTTCCCGGCAACTTTTAAAATTTTACTTGTCGTAAAAACCTTCCTTGGACTTCAACGAACGTTTAAAAAAAGAATTGGCCAAATTGGTCTAGGCGTTGTTGAGTTATGCGCTTACCAACAGATTTTGCGATTTATTTTTCTATTATAGATGAGCAGAAAGAAAATTATAGAATAAAATGATATTCACATCCACAGAAAAATGTCATGTTAATGGAAAGCAACCACAATTTTGATTTGAAAGTTTGTAATTACATTTTTGTGCTCCGCAGTAGAAAATAGAAATTGTGAAAATCTAGGTTAACCATACTTGCATATTGTACATTGTATCGCGCATGTTCACGTGTCAGCGTGTATTAATTAGATCGGGCGGTTGTAATTAGCAATGTCGGCGAGTGGCGTTCGCGCATGAATTGCAAATTTGCAAGTTTGCTCACATTGTTCGACCGTTGTACGAATACGGGCAAGAACTGAGCGACAGCGAGACATAAATTTAATACAAGACGACAGCGACATGAAAACAATCTCACATAAATAATTAATTTCCCAACGCAATATCGGATAATTGAAATACGCACTAAAAAATTGAAATCAATATCAAACGATTTCAAGTGTTTGACAACGATTATCAATGTTCCAAACAAATACAAACACGAATAAATGTTTATTATGTAAATTTTTGTATGAAACATAAACGATTATCCACAAACGGGATTTGTTTGTGTATTTTTGTTTATTTGCCAAAGCACACGTCGGTAAACAACCACTACAGTTATGAGGATATGTGTGTCATGTGGATCTCTTTGTGCGGATTTTTAATTGAAGAGTGGCCGAAACGCGGTCATGCGGAGCGGCCGAGTTTTCAACACGGTATTAGGTTATTTCGCTTTGCAAGCCGCGGGAAGATAGGACGCCTCGAAAGCGGAAAGGACGATATACACAAAGCTAATATTAGCCGAGCAAAATTGAATTATACACATGTACAGATGGAATTTCTATCGAAACCTCTCGAATTTAACAGAACGCATAAAACATTCTGTTATATTTGAATAATACAAATATTACGCATCTGTTTAATAAAAAATAAAAATTTTATTTCTTAGAATGTGAAATAAATGAATTCAAGTTGAAACGTGTTAAGGGATCCGTATAAAATATTGGAACGCAAAAAGAAACCCGAAAAACTCATGGGGATCGCACCCAGGTTGTCTATGGCGGTTTAGTTACTTAGCGATGACGACGTCACCCCAATTTTCCAGGTTTCCTCGCATTTTCCGTGTATGTAGGCATAACCCCACAACCTCCACAAGTCACTCTGTCCCTATCAAAGCGGTTATTCTATAGGGGACGTTTTTCTTTGATTTCAGCACACATCTCCACCTTTTTGATGTATTTCTTCCTTCGGGGTCTTTTATACCGCTGACTCTGGCAGAAATTTTATTAATTGCCACCGAAATATTTCAATTATGTGCTAACACGGAAAATTCAACCATAACAGTGCTTCATTACGGAAAGAGTATAAAATTTTATTGATGCACTTTATTTCTCAAATTACCAGCGTACTACTCGTATACGCTTATTAAAATCGAGTGCCTCGCTTTTCCTCTTCGTTTTGAAGATACTATCGACCTAGTCAATGTTTTACTTTTAATGCCAAATGCAATTGCCGGCGAAGCGTGCATGTCGAGTGACTTGGCACACAAAGAACAGATGCAGCGCACGTAAAATGTTATTTCCTGTATCTCGTATCCCTGAAAGTACCTAAAGTTTTACGGTGTGCCGTTTTGATGCTCCTTACCCGGAATTCCATTGCGTCTACGTTTATTTAGCAATGCACCAATGCCAATTCCCTCACCAACAGCGCTGTATAAATTTGTACAACATTTATGCGGAATTATAGCTCGAAATAAAGCCGGTCTTGTCTCGGGAACCACGTGTATAATGCGTATGCGAGGGTGGCTGGGTCTCTTCATTTAATGCGCTTCGTTTGCGCTTCGTTTTGCGCTGCGCTTCGTTGGATCCGTGCGGTTTTTACCTTTGGGTTTTGTCGAGGGTTTTAATGCACGCGCCGGCGCTCGTTAAGTGACTCACCGCAATGAAACAAAGATATTCCCATGTCAATAAACATCATTTATGATTATAACCTAGTATACAATTGAGGTTAGGAAACTTTTTGCACAACAATGTAGAGGGCGTGGTAAGTATATACATTGCCTCGATTTATTTGTGGGTGATAGTAGAGTAGAGAAAACATAACCAAAAAATATATACATCATTCGTCCTTGAGTTCTTGAGGAGAAAAATCACAGCGCGCGAAATTTTTTAATAAAAATGCAAAACGGAATGGCAAAATATGCTGATTTGCGGCGGTGTGGCGGCGTGGTTGGTAAAGCGTGCGCGAGAAAGCGTCATAAAGCAGGTCGACGGCGGCGGCGGCGGCAGCAGCGCCAGGCAATTATTTAGATATAGATAGACGACTGCGAGCGTAACGGACGATCCTATTTTCATGATAATATATTTGCACTAAGCGCACATAGATTTACTCCTTTGCTTCTCGACGCAGAGTGCTTCTCATACAAACGCTTGAACGACACATAAACCTCCCGAGGCGACATCTATATAAACAGATCAATTTTTATTCGATTTTCCTTGGAATATGTTTGTAAAAATTTCAGCAATATTTTTGTTTTGTGTTTTAAACATAGAATTTTACAATGCACGATTTTTAATATAAAACACTAGCATTTATTGATATCACATCAATTTCCAAGTGTGTCGTAATGCAAATCACACAGATCTTGCCTGAAATGTGTGGAAATCTCAGCGATTTTGCTCCTCATCTCGTCAAAATCGATCCGCCGGCCTGTCTGCACGATGAATCCTCGCAATTCAATTCAACTCGTGCTCCTTCCTCTCCTCGGTCGTCTGCTTACTGCCAGAGAGTTTAGAGTGGAGTTGTTTTTCTCTCGTCTCGGGGCGTCCTTCGCTCGCGGCTTACGCCCTTTGGTTGGATGGATCTCAATCTCGCTCGCCTCGGCTAGATCTCGAATTTACGAATTTAACTCGCCGCGCGCGTACACAATGTGCAGCCGCGGAACGGATTCGCGCCTGATTGTTGTTTAATTGCGTATTGGGAGTTTGTCGCTGTAATGGGATGGATGCGCGACGAGGAAACAAAGCCGCACTTTCTCGGCCCGCCGCCGCCGACGCGCTCCTCGAGATATTCAAATTCAAATTGAAGATTTCGGGATTTACGGCGGCCGGGAGAGCGACGAGATTTGCGATTTTAAGTGGGCTTTATAAATTCGATCATTAATGACTGCGCGCAGCGTGAATTTCTAATCGGAACAGGGATTTGTTAGTGCAGCAAAGTTTTGCAATTAAAAATATTTCAAACACAGCAATGCTTTACGATTTGAACTAAAAATTTGTTAATTAATAATTAACCAGAGAAATTCGTTGATTATCTACCTGTTTGAGGCATTCAGATATTAACGATCGCACTGACTAATTAGTGAAGTGCATCACATTGGCACCCGTGCTGCATCATCGGTGCGCTCAAAATACGCCGTCGACCGGAAAACGCGCACGAAATTGAAAACGCGCCCTTCTACCACTGCCCACGAGCCAGCGGGCGTCTATCACAGCATAACCGCAACGAACCGTGATATAGCAAACCGTCGCACGCCACCACCGCCGCCCCCCGGTTCGAATTCGGTGTGCAGTCGCATTGGCGATGAACTTTTCGATTCAACGCGTCGCAATTTTCGACACTACTACGCTCGCCAACATTATATTATGGAATTTATTGCAGTTTAATGAAAGCTATTTATTCATTATACTGCAGGGAATGTGACTTGATGAAGAAATAATTTCAAATATGACTTAATTAATTATCGATGTTTCCTTAGGCGTCTGTCCTTTGTCAGGTAATCCTCTTGTAACAAGGATTAATATAACATGGACATGACTTATCATATAGATATTCTAAAACAGGGTTACCGTAAGTTTTAAAAGAATATATTATATTAGTTTTGACCGCGACTTCGTCCCGGTAGTGTTTAATAAAAATGTAATTTGTTTTTACTCTCTTGTTCTAGACATAGTATGTGTCAATTATATCAATAAGATTCGCAATTTTATTTTAAAGAAATTAATTATATAAAGAATTGCTAATAATGCACTTCAGCGCGCCATCTAGGATTCAACTATTTAACTATAACTATGATTGAATCTCAATGCTAACTTTTATTCTATAGTCTTATATTCTATAGTATGTCTTTAGGGTTTTCCCGGCAATTATTCGAATTTTTCACGCTGTAAGAACCATCCTTGGACTTAAACAAACATTAAAAAAAAGAATTGGCCAAATTGATCTTGGCGTTGTTGAGTTATACGCTTACCAACAGATTTTACAATTTATTTTTATATTATACATAGTTAAAAATTATAAACAATCTTTTTTTCAAATTTTTTAGATAAAAAATATTACGATAATATATGAAATTTTAATTTACGGTTGGCAACCCTAGTGATATAACACATCATTGCCATATTACCAGATTAAACACGTTGCTATAAGTTCAGGTGCCATGCACGAGGTCGAAAGCTATACCTTGGGACGGTACAACAATTTGTCGTTGAACGTAATTTGCGCACGTGTCGCACGTGTGGCTTCTGGATAGACATGATCAAGCAAATTTGCAAATTCAGTAGTGCAAGGTGAAGCGATAGGATATCAAAGATACCGTCGTTTGGTAACGACGAGCACAGCCGCAAAATCACAAGCAACGAGGTCGATTTTCACCAGGAGTATTAGTGATATTAGTAATCCAGCGCGACGATGCCACTGGTGTCACAGTTCGTACCTTTGGATCATCTATAATCAACTGTGTCTTTGTACATTCAGTAATTAGGATTGACTCTCACACTTGAGAATCAAAATGTAATTATATAATGCCTTCATGGAATTCGCAATGATATTATAGAGTCTGTAATCTGTACGTATAGAAAAGAAAATTGTGTTAGTTACAACATCAATAACTCAAGAACGGCTGGACGGATTTTGATGATCATTGTTTTTTGGATTTGTCTTTGCCCTGTAAAGCATAATAATTATTAAAATATTGCAAATTATTATTAAAAGAAGAGTAAATAAGGGATAAAAGTTTACATAGAGATGCAATGATAAATATAGTTCAATACTTCTATCAGAGATGGCGTTAAAGTTTGTTATTCGATTTCTCAGTTCTTTAACATGAAATAACAATTCTTATTGTAGACAAGCTCAACAAAATAAATCTTTTGAATAAGAAAATAAAATTTAATTACATTTTTACTTTGTTTTTACCAGAATATTAACTATTTTAGTGCTTAAACATGAAAACACCAAGATATATATATTTTATAGGTTATAATTAAATAGGCAAGGCGTTAAGCAGATTGTAACTTATTTAAGCTTAACGCAGTAAACACAGTTAACGTGTTTACTACAAAATTTCCCCACACGTCTTGCATTTACTGAAATTAGTCACCCTTTTACTAAAAACTCATAATATCCCTGATTGGTTTTTGTACGCAACTAATTAATTCTACAAAATTAAATTTAAATTTTTAGTAGATTGGTATAGGTATTAATGACGCACATTTTTGTTTTCAACATTTCGATTGTAATCTGAAGCGTGAGCCCGGATGGTGAGCGTATCACCATATGTTGTAATATGATTTTAATGCCGCCGGCTGGGAGCTAATGTGCGTCCACGCGACCCCGTAATGGCTCATAAAAAGTCCTTTTTGAGTTTAGGGCCTGATCCATGCGCGCGCTCCACCTTTACCCTGCCCGGGCCACAACCAACTCGCCGCAGATCGACGCAAAGTACGCTCGAGGCGCGTTTAGTTTAATGTCTTTTGCATTTTTGAATCCAAATCGACCTGATTATGCAGAACTGCCATTTTTATTCGTTTTATTACTTCTTTTTCTTGTGACGATGCTATTATTATCCAAATAATATGAACGCTATTCAAAATGTCAACAATTTACTTACAGATTCGGCCAACAGATGGCGTTCACATTAGTTTTTACTTGCAAGCAATGCTGCTTACATAAAAAACGTATATTTCATAAAATTATAAACAGAAAAGTGATTTGATCTTATTAGCAGACGTAAATATTTATTTTGAAATCCAAAATTCGATTTGAAGATGATAGCATATTTTCAAGTTTATTCACTTGAAAACCTTAAAAGCACACACATGAAAGCTTCAGTGAATAATTAATTATTGCTTTTAGCTCAATTCTCTACTCACGATACGATATTATTAATGCTTATGTATAAATAGCCGAGTTGACTGAATTTTGCTATTTGCTCATTTTATAGGATATAGAGAGGGATGCGCCCATTAAAGTTGTGAAAGATAAATCCGTAAGCGAATAATTAACGAATCCCGCGAACGAAGCCTTAATTAAAAATGCAAATAAATGTGTTAGCATTGCATAAAATAAACGTTAATGAAAATAAACAAATGTTCGAGGGTATCCGAGCGCGCATTGCGCATCAGTTTCATTATTCATTCAATTCTAAAGCTGGGCTCAGCTATCAAATCACGCATATATCGGAAAAACATACCTACTCGTTTGTAATAAATGTTGCCCCAGGGTTTTTTTGTCAAATTTATATAGTAACGTCACATTAATGTGATGAAGTATATATTTTTAGTTTCTACATTAATAATATAAAAATAAAAGGCAAAATTTGTTGGTAAGCGCATAACTTAATACCGCCTGGACCAATTGGGCCAATGCTTTTTTTTAATGTTTGTTAAAGTCCAAAGATGGTTTTTACGGCGAGAAAAATTTAAATATTTGCTGGGAAAACACTAAAGATAGCTCTTTTCTGTAGGATAAAAGTAGGCATTTAGATTCAATTGTAGTTAAATAGTTGAATCCGAGATGGCGCGCTGAAGTGCAATATTTGCAATTTTTATATAATAAATTTCTATAAAAATAAAATGACGAATCTTATTGATAGAATTGACATATACTATGTCTAGAACAAGAGAGGAAAAACAAATTACATTTTTATTAAACACTACCGGAACGAAGTTGCGGGTAAAAGCTAGTAATTAAAAAATATATATTTAGGGTCATAGAATATTCTTCTTTACAGAAAAATATTACCTGACGGATTCTACTCATATGCAAATATATTATGTGTCAATTTTTAACACAAAGGATTCCATAATAAATGAATATATAAATAATTTCAGAATTTTGATAAAATAAATGTTTTAGATAATTGGTTTATTCGTAAAAAATAAATAACTAAAACTGTATTATTTTTATAAGAGAAATATAATAATGTAATTTGATTGAAATGATTTTTAGAATTAAATTCAATTATGGTGATCAAAGCATCACAATACAACAACAAAGAATAATCCATGATCTGCTGCAATACATCAAATAAAAATTAAATATTTTAATATATTCTAGTTGCAAAAACTTTCAAAACTATTTAATTAACTTGTGTTTGTGTTCAAGCTTAAACTTGATGTGTTTATCCCGTTGGAAAATTAAGTGTCAGATTTAGTTGATTTTTAAATCGCTCGCTTTACGACAATTTCTTCATCAACTCAAAACTTGCTTTAATCCCGGAATATAATGTAACTCATGCAGAAAATAAACTAACAATTTTTCTTCGCATCACTCTAGAAGCAATTATGAAAATGTTCAACCTGTTTGCATATCAAAAGCATGATAAGCAGTTAATTTATATGCTCCCTATCAAATGTCGTTGTTGGGGCGGTTTGGGGATAGCGTTCCAATCAGCCGCATGTCGAATTCGTCGAAACGGGGCGCGAATATGAAACGCGTGCATAATTCATAAGACGGCGACGCCTAATGGATTCCGTAATCTGTGCGCGTCCGTTACCCCACTGCGCGGCTCACACTATCATGCAGCATCCGCAGGATGCCACGGAATGATAAGCGCCGATAAGCCACGTAAGCAATCTCGATTACTAGCGATTACCGACAGTGCGCCGATTGCCCGTTTGCGGGACCGCATGATCTACGATTCGAATTATGCGAGAAGGGTTGCTTACTAGTTGTTACTGTGTTGTTGTACAAGATGGGGCGAGGATGATTTATAATATAGGCAGCCACATATACACAGTCGAAAATATGCCACGTCACTAATTTAATCAATACTTAATTCTTAATTTAGATCGCAAATATCTTGGAAGACAATATTGCAGGAATGGAATTCTAAATCAACTGGTATCTGGCAAGTCTGGCGAGTGGCGCAAAATGCTGACGCGCTCTCAAACAACTCATTCGCTAATGAAACGCGCAATGTTCAATTTGAATTAATCACGCTCATTCTGAAGGGGCTGGAATTTTCGATAATTAATGAAGAATCATTAATCAATTAGTACTTTTGCACACTAGTGCGCAAAAGTAACTTTTACACATGTTGCTAACAACTTTCTTATTTAATTACCTAACCGACAAAATGAGCTATTTTACATTTTTATATTTTATTTCCAGTGGCTTCTCAGTGGTAGCACCGGAATTAGCTGTGCCTGGCAAAACCACAGCAGTTTTGATCACTCTGCATGGTCCAGCCAGCTTGCAACCTTTAAATGTGACGCTTCGACTACTCCCAGATCCTGCGCAGGATTTCAGCGAAGATGGACCGTCTACACTTGCTAATGACGTGCCGCTTGTTATAGCAACGCAGGAAATCAAAGGTAATTCAATCTTTCTTTGCATATCATTCTTTTTCACATAAAAGAAACTGTAGAAAATAAAATAAAGAATTTTTCCTTTTGAGGACTTGTTGTAATTTGGAAAGTATTGCAACAATCCTATAAAACATTTTTATTTTATTTTATTAAGAGTATTCGTAATTACTCTCTTGTTCTAGACATAGTATGTATCAATTCTATCAATAAGATTTGCAGTTTTATTTTAAAGAAATTAATTATATAAAGAATTGCTAATAATGCACATCAGCGCGCCATCTCGGATTCAACTATTTAACTATAACTATGATTAAATCTCAATGCCAACTTTTATCCTATAGAAAAGGGCTGCCTTTAGGGTTTTCCCAGCAATTATTTGATTTTGTCTTGCTTTAAAACCAATCCTTGGACTTCAACGAACATTTTAAAAAAGAATTGGCCAAATTGATCTACGCGTTGTTGAGTTATGCGCTTACCAACACATTTTGTGATTCATTTTTATATTATAGATTAAAACAACGTCCTTTTCTGAAGTAATTTGTATTTTATAGGTTAAAGTAATAATAAAATATTCTCAATATAAAAATAATTGTTATTCCTTTACTTCCCTCCTGGAATTTAATGTTTACGATATAAAACCGAAAGATAGAAGAAGGACATTCTTGGATGGACGTCTCGTCCTCTAAAGTCGGTCGGTCGTCGAACGTCGAATGTCGAACGAAATGACAATCTTTCGGCCCGTTGACGCGTGAAACTAGTATTGCGATTTTCGTTCGCCGACAGAGCCTTGCGCTTTCCTGCGCGCCTAATCGAGCACAGATTTAATTTATCCTGCCGCGAGGAATGTCATTACATTTCCTCAGCTTTCGGCATCACCGATTTTCAAACCTATTAAAATTATTTTATCACTATAGACGGATTTTTCTGTAGCTACATTTTACCCTCCGCAAACGCAAATTGTAAATTCAATTCAATTTTACCGCGCGCGCGACGTCAGCAATAAAATATTTTCGATGCAAGGATAATTTAAAATCGAATCACGGATGATTCGAAAGATGCTTCGGGCGCTTCCTCAAACAAGATTTAATTCGCTCGGAAATATTCGTTCGGGCGTCGTCAGCAGTAAAATACAATTTGCTTATGTCGTTTTTTTCTGCGTCCGCCTTCTCTGATTGCACGCGCAGGTTTCGGGTCTCCGGGTTGGGATTTCATTTCCACATTCCAGCCATACACGCGCGCCATCGGCGAATTCTGACGAAATTGAAAGTACACCTTCCACGCAGCAGAAAAAAAAAATGAAAACAGCAGTTTGAAGCTTCAGTATTTGAGCCGTTTATTTTGAAAGTGACCTAACTCCGTTTTTCAAATTTTTGCCGGTTACCATGGTTACATGTACAACTTCATGTTATTTATCAGTGACGCACTTCAGATTGCTTATATTCAGAGAAAATACGGTACATTTTTTTACACATAAGTTTTCCGAATTAATTGAATAACTGAGCCGTGCAGTTTGAAAGTGGCCTAACTCCATTTATAGTTAAATCAAGATATTTACTATTGATAATGTCGGAAAGCAGCGATGAAGGTAATTTCAATTAATTAGTATTTACAAGTTCACCTCATTTTTGGGACAATTGCGTTAGTTAATTAACCTGTACGTTTAATTAATATAAAACTTAAAATTTAATATTAAATTATAGAAATTATTGCACCCATGAGGAAGAACAGAAGGAGACCACTTAGTTCAAATAGTGAAGAAGAAATAGTAATTAATAATTTAAAAAAAAAGCGAATAAGAAAAAGAATTATAGAACAATATTCCCCGTCAGAGGATGAAGATTCAAATAACAATGGAGAAAAGAGTGATGCACCATATATCTAAAAAGTGCGAAAGATTAAACAGAATTCAGGAAAAAGATATTGCAGTCAAACCGGAAGTATTGTTCAAGAAAAAAATTTCGAAAACAAAGATTGTGGTTGTCGGAATGCGTGCACAAAAAATTATAATGAAGAAGAAAGAAAGAATATTTTTGAGAAGTTTAGGGGTTTGGCAGACTTTAACAAACAAAATGTATTACTTCACGAAGCTGTCTGTGAAACGAAGACGTTTTGTTTTTCAATTTGAAACATCTTAAATTATGTTGAATGGACTTGGGCATCCTCGAATTTTATAATGAATCTGGTTGTTAATTTTTAAAGTGGCCCAACTCCATTCTTGATAAGGAAACGCACGTTATTTACTTAATAATTGCCACTATTTTAACAGGAACTTTAAATTTAACATCCTTAGATACGCTTAAGCAGTATGACTCCTTAGTATCTTATACCTATATTTTTAAATTCATTGAAACGCAAAACTTTCAATATCTCGATTTGAAGATAAATGGAGTTAGGCCACTTTCAAAATAAGCGGCTCATTTTGTTCCTTGTGTTTCCAAGATTGCAAAATTAATATCAGCAGATTTTTGATTTTCCTCGGGAATGTCAAAAGTGGTTCGGCATCTAAACGAAGAGACACATCAAATGTTTGCTCGTTTACCAAAGGAGTGTTTGCACGTCCTTGCACAAAATCAATCCGTCGTCTTCTTTATTGACACGCGCCAACCACAACTGCTTTGCTTCATCAGTTCCAAACTAAGCCCTTCTGACGGGTGGAAAAATATAAAAACATATACAGTGTGTATATGCGACCTTATCGAGATACTCTATAGATGTGTGTGTGTTGGGTAGTGTAGCTGATGATCGAGAGCAAATCGGTAATCTCTAATCGTTTGATGTTGAATTTTCCTTGAAACTCACTTCGGATCCCGGTGCGGTTCGCTTCATCTCATCAGCGCCGCTTCTGTGTGTATCAATGCAGGATTCCTGGGTGGTAGGAGTGGTGGGCTTCGTAGTTACATACGTCGATGAGCAAACAACGTTTTCAAAGTGCCTCCGCTGCCGGCTCGCACCAGCGCGCCGCGGAAAACAAGCGGTGAAATTGAACGGGCGGCAGATGCGGAGCCGGCGACGGCGTCGGCGCTTACACAGTGGATTATGTTATAGTTTCGGCCCGCTTCCAGCACCCACCCGCCAGTGCACAAAGAGTAAAGCGATTTAATCTGTTTTTCTTCTATGAGCGCGGCGCCGCGTTGCCGCCACCAACAATTTTCACATACTCACATACCCACATTATAATTATACAGTTACTTTACAAAGAAATCGTAAATTACATGGTATATAATTTTTACAAAAGAGAATAAAACACTGATGTAGTATTTGTATAAGGAAATGACGTCTATTTTATTTAATTTCCCTGGAGAGTAAAATTCTGCACAATTTTTATACAACGCGTTTTTTATTAGGTAATGATGTTAAAAAAGCAAATAGTATATTATTCATTAGTTGAATGTTATATATCATGCATTAAAAAAATTTTAAACTTATATAAATGACACAATTTTATTTTTACTTTAATTTTCCAAAAATGTTATCAATGCATTTGTTGGATTTTTGCTATTTGATCTATTTTGAACCGTTTGCTAACACAGGATATGAACTGCTGATTTGATCCCCGCCTACAATGCATTGATTCCTCGAAGCGTCCTGCAAAACTGTACGAGGAATGCGAAAACTGGGACATTTAGAAAATGGAAAATTGAAAATTACATTCCGGTTACGGCTAGAGTGTGTATATGCTCGCTCGACCGGACATTGCATGCAATACATTCAGGAGGATTTAACCCAGAACACATGCTCCAAAAATTCTATACCTACCCTACCCTAAAACATAGAACAACAACTATGCGCTTCTATAGATGTAGACATTGCGGAAATTCGTTTTTATGACGTAATATTACAGAAAAATCGAAAATAAAAATAAATTTAGTTTTGCAGTAGACAAACGCATTGTATATTTATAAGCGTTGTGGTTTTACGCTAGTGTGTGGCGTTCATTTTCTTTTATTGGCGGCGACGATGGCGTCCCAGCGGAAATCCCGTCTAATGACAGTAACGCGTTCTTTGTGCGCTCGCGCGCGCGCACTTGCCTTCTTATGCAAACATTTATGCGGCAACGCCAAACCGACTTCCGCATCGTTTCCACACCGTAATCCTAGCCAACCCTTTGTTACCTGCATGCATGCTGCACATTCGCACTTCTACACCGCATGACTGTGTAATCCTAAGACAACAAACAACTTCAGATAGAAATATTCGCAATCTAGATATTTTTGTATGCAGTTGCAATGTAGTTCTGTATACTGTTTTTTGTTGCAATTCGATTACAGCAGAGACACACTGTATACACTTGAAACGATTTTCTAAGCGGTTCGACGTTGCGCTTCAAACGTATTGAAACAAAACAATATCGCATTCAGCATTCAATTATTCGTAGCCGACATAGCTTTGCACTGAAAGCGACGCTTTCGTTACGTTGACGTACGCCTCATGCAAGAGAAATGTTTAATGGAAATAATGGAAAAACAATGCAGCGTTTTCAAATGTTTTGATCGATTTTACTTCCAGGAAACAGCTCGATTCATATCGCAATAATACTTACAATATATTATGCAACGATATAAAAAATAAATAACAAATTCACATAAATTCGGTTCTTTATTTTATTTTCTAAACTTTTGTGTGAATGTATATTTGATACGCTTTCACGCATAAACTACTAAACCAATTTTGATCAATTTTGTTATATAGATATGCTTAATTAAGAAAAAGCAAATAGGCTAATTTAAGCCAAAATTTAATGTATAGCGGTTAAAATAAGAGATTAAAGTTAATATGATGATTCAATCACGTTTATAGTTGTCTAATTCAAATGTAGATGGCGCTACGGTACACTTTTTACATATTTTATTTTATTATATTAAAAGTTTTAATTTTACGGTTTACAAGATTAAAAAACAAAAAAAAACTAAAACTAAAATTAATTTTTTTATATTGTTGAGTACGTTGTTAGTCTCCTTGACTTTCCATCAATTCCTTGCACCTTGCTGAAAAGATGATTGCAAAGGTTGCAAAGTAATGCTAACTTGGTAGGAAGTTCCCGGCACTCGCGGGCGGTAACTTTCGAGCCCCAAACGTAATAATAACAATATTACAACTTTCAACACGGCCGACACGCGGCCGAAGGGGGCGCAAGGTTGCGTTGCGCTTTTGTTCGGCATACCTTTCGTTGCCATCGCTTCACATCAACTTTCCTGCAAGTTTTCACCCTTCTTCGGATTCTTCACTTCACCGCCGGTGGCTTTCTTTGCGAAAGTCACGCGGTGATTCGACGCGCTTCCTGCCAACGTCCGCTTCCGACTTGTTTATTCAACATTCACTACTGAACGATATTTCAAGCAATATTGCATTTGAAAATATTGAATGAAATATTTTGCGCTATCCGTCTTTGCAATCAGAGGAATATATACGGAGGATGCGAGCGAAGACAAATTTCGAAGTGATTTAAAAACGGCTTTGTGCACTGGATTATCGTGACTTATGCGCTCCGACGTAAAATGAAAAAAAAATGAGGAGTGTGAATAAAGCGGGACGGGCCGGGCGCGCCGGAAAAACGACGGCGCGCTTTTCGCACGCCATTCATCATCGCGCGCACGGCGCACTGTCCCAATTTCCGGTTTATTCGAACTGAGCAATCCATGCATGAGCTTCGGAGTCAGCGCGTTCGCAGCGAGGACATGTACGGAAATCTGATTTATGGATTTAATGCGCGAAAATATAGACAGAATGGGATTTGTTATGTGTTTGAGTGCTACAAATGCGATGGTGGGTTTGTGAAATATTGAAAAGTGTAGAATCATAAAAGAAAGAAACGTTTTATCATGAAAACTTGAATGTTTTATGCAAAATTTTCTTCAAAATATTATTAAAAGATTAAATTTTAATAGAAAATATTGCCCTAAGCTCTTTCAGCCTTAAAAATATAAACTATAATATGAAAATAAATCGCTAAATCTGTTGGTAAGCGCATAATTCAACAACGCTTAGGCCAATTTGACCAATTCTTTTTTTCAAATGTTCGTTAATGTCAAAGGATGGTTTTTACGGCGAGAATAATTGCCGGAAAGACCCTAAAGACAGCCCTTTTCTATAGGATAAAAGTTGGCATTGAGATTTAATCATAGTTATAGTTAAATACTTGAATCCGAGATGGCGCGCTGAAGTGCAATATTAGCAATTCTTTATATAATTAATTTCTTTAAAATAAAATGGCGAATCTTATTGATAGAATTGCACCGGTAGCAAAAGCAAAGTAAAAAGCTAGGCAAAAGCTAGTAATTTATACTTTTGCATTTTCACCACTCAATTTTCTTTTATTTATTATTCTGTTATTTTAATAAACTGAGTTAGAATGATGTAAAGGTAGGCAACTTTAAAAACACTTTGTCTATGTTTATGTCAATTGACCAAAAAGGAGAAATGAGAAATCAGAAATCTTCAGGATAAGAATTTTCGAGAGGAAATAGAATAGTTGGATTTGAAGCATGCGGGCTTAATGGCCAGGAAATTACAATAATGACGCTGAAGTTGCTGCGCCACACGAAACACGTACACAGCGCATTCAAGTCCGAAAACGACGACGACGTCCTCGCGCCGCGCCGCCTCCTGGAAACGAGGAAATTAACTTCTGACTGGCGCACGACCGACACATCGCTTTCGACGCGGGCGCTCGTCTTTTGAATATACAAATATTCGCGCCCCAAGACTCAGATAATCCGGAAAGCGAAACGGCGAGAGACGAAACAATAGCAATAATGCTTTATCTGCATGCCGAAGAAGCGAAAATGTTTGAGCGTGACGACGCCGACGCGCTTATCTCGGTTGGTTTTCTTTTGTTTCGTTGAGTTTTATAGCAGGAAGAAAAAAAAATTTAGGCCAAGCATGCAAATTACTTTTGCTTATTCTCTCTCTTGTTTAATATTTGTGTTTTGAACTTATGAACTTGTTTTGACTTTGACTTTGACACGAATGAATTTTTAATGTTGTTTGTCAGCCTGAATTGATTTGAATGACGAAAAGTTGGTAGGCTTTTCGCCAATATTGAGCCCACACAATGTTTTCCAAAGTCGGAGTGAAACACAAACACAAATATACGAAAACGCAATTCTCCTCGGCACGAAGTCATCGCGTTATTCCCGAGAGGTCCTTGAATCAATAGCTCCGAGAACCCGACATCTCCTGGACGTCTCTATATGCCTTTTTGTGCGTCTAGACCGTGACACGCTGCAAAAAATTTATGTTTGCCTACCAATTGTCTCTCAACTTTATTACTTATTTTATCTCTTCAGGGTGTGTGTGTATTTTGTTCAGAGTAAATTGGCCGGCAGTGAAGTGCAGTAAAAATATGAGTGCAAACAATGTCCAATTAGGTCAGATCCAGGTCACTAGGTGGCGGAATAACGATATTCCGTTCGAGCGCAGGCACTCATTGTTCATTTACGAACGATTTAATTCGCATTTCGAGTGTACTTTAATGAAAAACGTTTCTTTGCTTCTAGGTCATGGCATTCTGCCGTTGGAAGTTCCGGCTGACTTGGCGGGCGCGTTCCTGCTACAGACGCTCGTGAATTGCACCGGAAGCAGTGCCGCCGCCGTCGCCACCAACACTGTCGCCAATGCAAGCGATGAATGCCAACTGCGGAGCTCGTCGCAGATGAGACTCGTCGGGCCGGTCAGGGATGTTATTATTCGGCCCGCCAAGCATGCATACTCGCCCAGCGAGAAAGGTGAGAATCATATTTTATTCAAAAATCAAAAATAAACAAAAAAATTGAATCCAACGGAAATTGAGCATAGGTAACCCGCTTTGTAAGCAATATACACTGTACCTGCACCAACAATACTTACTAAACGCTTAAAACGCTTTAAAGAAAACAATTAACGACCATCTCGTTAAAAATTGCACCCAGGTTGAACTAAACTTTTAAAGTTGATACATTATAAAATTAAAGCCAAGAAAAAACTTTGCTGGATTTTCTTTTCTCCTTGGCAACTTGTGTTTTTTTTTCTGTGCTCTCCTCTGCGATTTTACGAGTTGTAACTCCGATAAAACTCCTTCGAATGCGTCCTCTAATGGACGTTAAATAATGATATAGCCGCGTGTTTTTGACTTCAAAGCAAGTTAAACTTTCGTAATCCACTGCTTGGCGCGCTAGACCAGACTAGAAAAAATATCGCCCTACTTTTTCTCCTGTGACTTCTTCTTTACAATCACTTCTTTTTATTTCTACTTCCGGCAAAGGTTTATTTAGCTAAACAGTAGTCGGTAAACAAGGTCAGTGAGTGAAGTGTGAGTTGAGTATTATTTATTGGTAAAATCAATAAAATATTCTTTTAAATCAGCAATGTTGTCTGAACATTAAACTAAAAAAATTTAAAATTATGTTTTGATTTGTTTAGATGGCCCAGCTAAAAGCCGGGCCTGTAAAAAATTCTTACAGACTCATTTGAGTTGTTCCCCTCCACGGAAATCTTTAGTAAAAGGCGAAAGATTTATTCGCTTTGAAGGGAAACCAGAGTGACGAAGCTTATACCTGCTTTACCCTATATTCAATAATAATGTATTTACCATATAAGAAGTAATAAAGACCCATCTTGCGTTTAAAATATAAACTAAACTAAAATATAAATTCCTACATTTCATCAAATTTAAATTTAATTCCACACACAATGCATTGATCACTATTTAACACGAATCATGCATAGTGAATCATAGGTAAATTCAGAAATTAATGCAGATTATTTGGTTATTTATTCTTTGATAATATCAGTCACAGAATGAATTTCATATCAAAATATTGTATGATTATTCAACCGAATTTGTCTGTTCATTATCATATTTCAACATTTATATAAAACGCGTCCAATGATATATTTCACAAATAGAATTATAGATGGCGCTGATAGTTACATAACATTATAAAAAAGGTTATGTTATAACTTGCCGAGAAAAAAATAATGTCGGTCTATATCTACAATAAGATAGAAATGACACCGCAGTATTATTGAATGCTCAATGTAATATATCTTCACGTGTAATAATATGATGTGTGCACTTGTGAACATTACTACATATCTTGAATATTACAACGTTTGCATAATGTACACAAAGCCCGCGGCATCCATTTAAGTATATTTCCCAAACACGGTTGAATATATCTAATATCCAAGCACCTTGCGATGAATTATTGTCTGTGTAAGGGGGCGAACAAAATGAAAGAAACGAAATTGCGAATCGAAATTAATATTAAACTCGATCGAAATGTTCGACGCGCTGGAAAACCGCCTCCTCTCTCGGTCGTTGCTCGTTTTTCTCGTTCGTCGTTACGTAACACCGCCTCTAACTCAATTAGCAATCGTTGGAATACATCTCAATTTCTTACTGCTCCGCGCCAGCATTCCTTACTAATTCCAATTCTAATACTACTACGTGAGTATCATTCGTTCTGCGTCAATATTTAATTAATTTGCTTTCGGAAACGATGCTTGGTGCGAAAAATATCAAACGAGTTTAAAACATACGACTTGCCATTTCAATTAAAAGTGTTAATCACGCCCGACGTGAAAATCCCTTCGGATTTTACGATTTCACTCCGACTGCCGACCATTAGCACGCCCAAAACTCGCCGACACTTTTCATTCGCAACTCGTAAAACTATAAGCGAGCGCTCATAATTCGTAATCTGTTAATGCTCTCTTCCACCGACCCGAACATGCACTCGCGTAGAACCTGCAGCGACGATTTTTATTACGAGTTATTTCGCTATTTATTATCTGCGCGCAGGGCGCGCTCGCTGCGAAATGAATGCAAACAAACAAGTTGTGAACTTTTGTCCTCATCGTCGCGTGGCACTCGGGCGCATTAATGTTTCACTCCGCTTTTAACATTCATTAAAACTCCTCCAATCTGTCGGCACGCGAAAGTTTGAGTTGCAGGCGCCCGCAGTCTAAAAAAAACAAATAAAACTAAACAAATGCAATTGAAGATTTGGTATTTTCAACATTTGTAATACACCTAGCGACATCTGCCGGGTTTAAAACGAAATAAAAATGACTTTTGTTATTTACTTGTTACGTGACGTGACACAATGACTTTGTTTGTGTAGTTACACAAAGTTTAAAATACGAGCGGAATGTCTTTGCGCGCTGTTTGGATTTTCACGGTTTTCCACTCTTCTGAGCAGTGGACGAGATTTGGAGTAAGTTTGCGTTCCGGCTCGGGTCGCACGTCCGCCGATACATTTATCGTTTGTTGTTTCGAACTCGTGACACTTGCGTCACGGTGAATAATGCGCGCCGGAAAGCGAATAAAAGACGCACAACAAAAAGTTAGCCTAGTCGAGAGGATGACTTTCGGACGTTCATAAATCGCAAGCGCCAAGCGAACAAATCGTCTGGGTGCTGTGCCGAAATGTTTGCCAAACTTCACGAAAACATTTATTATGCTGTGTCCCCGGGAAAAATAATTTCTAAATTAGGAGTGCATTTTATTTGCGTCGAGACAAAGAAGTGGGTTTATTAGAATTAGAGGATTTCTCGTGGACTTGGGTTTCGCCAGCGCAAAAAGCGGATTACTTTTTGTGGCGCCGATTTACAAAAACGTCTTGAAGAGAGGATGAGGCGAGAGACGAGAGCTAATCCTTCGCTTTACTTGCTCGCCGGCATTCTTGGGACGCACGCTTGAATCGCAAATCTCCTAAATAAACTGAAAATAAAGCGCAAACTAAATGAAACAAAAAATTAAGTGCCAAAGTAGATTTTTTTCGTTTCACAAAAAATTCTTTTTTTTCTTTGCTTTTTTTGCAGTTTCTTTTTGGGTGTTGGCTCTGGATCACGATCTGCAAATCGCCTCCAGCGCAACGGGTACAGTGAGTGTGATGGACCCGGCCGGGACAAAGGTCGCATTCTGGGATCAAGTGTCACTGGACGAAGGTAACATTTTTATTTTATGTCGATACCATTTTCTCATAAAAATCCCATTTGCAGGCGTGAAATCATTCAATTTACCGCTGTCAGAGTTTGTGCGTTTCGGCCGTTGGTCAATTCACGTCGAAGTGCAAGGCAATGAATTCACCGCTCCCATCGAAGTGGCGCCGGGGGCGGGCGGTGGCATTCCTGATGTGGCCGCCGCTGAAGAGCACTACGTTGAACTACGTTTCGGCAGAGAAATGCGCAGACGATACAAACCAGGATTACCATTCTCCGGAAAGGTACATCATCACATTTAACACGTTGAGGACGGCGCGGTTTTTGGGTGTCTGTCGCATCGGGCGGCGTTTGAGCATTTTCAACTCCGTCCAATTAATTCAGCTGTGCGCCACTGGTGGTTATGCGTTGCTGTATCAAAAAGCGATTGTTTTTACAGTTGCGTCGCCATTTATTTATTTTCTTTGTAATGAATGCCTTTAACTTTAGAGTCCGACCGAAACTATGTGCGAACTGAGACGGCAAGTGACGACCACGACTTAGCCGCGAGTTAGCCGAACGACGCACAATAATTCACGAACACTGAGTTTCGGTTCTGCCAAAAGTTTCAGCCAATTTTTGGCCGAAACCAAATTTGAAGCCAAAACTGAAACTTTGGTCGGTCACTATTTATTATAATATGTAATCTGAGTGACACATTTGATGACAAAGATGCAAGGCCCGGATTGTATAGGTGAAACGAGGAGAAGATATAACCTAACCAGTGGCGTAGTCAAAAATGAATAAGTCTCGTTTCAAATGAGCCGTGTACCACCGGTGGTACACGCCGTCCCACAGACCAGACGCGTGTGTACCACCGGTGGTACACGCCGTCCTCAACGTGTTAAGGTTATATAAAATAATAACAGGTTATGTTGATGTATGATTATATAGGTTGAGGCTATGAGTACTGAAAAGTCAGTGCGGGTGCGTGTGAAAGTTTACGACAACACCACTTCAATCTACAGTCAAGACATCGAGATAACAAACGGTGAAGGGACGTTCATCGTGCCTGCTATTATGGCCGACAGTGACGTCATCGCGTTACAGGTAACTTTATTTTCACTCAATCATTGTTCGAGCTCGACTCATGTACTACATGTTATGACACACTTCTTATATTTATTTTATATAACGAGTGTTAACCGAAAAAAAAAAACGAATAAATGCTTCAAATGCTAACGTAGAACAAACAGTGAGAAAAACACGATACGATCGTAGGTACGTTTTTGCTTGTTTTTGTTTTTCCAACGGTGGAACGTGTTTGTTAGCGGATTTGGCGGATTGAAACCGAACGTCATCCATCAACATCATTGCGAGAAGCGCGCGCATTATGTTCGCGCACGGCGAGTCGAAAAACCCGCGCGCGTACAAGTTAAGGCACTTTATTGTTGCCGAAGTGATCGATTGATTGACACCCGTTTTGACGGCGACGTCGTGCGATATATTCGCATCGGTTACGCGCAAGCGGACAGCGCGCTTCATAACAACTGAAAAAAATAATGTGTGTGTGTGTTGAGAAATGAGAAATGAAAAGAGCGTGAGGCGCGGCGGAAAACAAACAGGAAATGCTACGATATGCCGAAAATGACAAGCGGATGCACAATATTTCCGATAGCATTATCGACACTGAAGAGGCCGGAAATTTAATATCAATATTTTTGTCATGTGAAAATGAGTGGATGGTTTATTCTTTAGGAAATATTTTATTTAATTTATGCATGAATCAAAAAGTTTTATTTGACTTATTTTTACGCGAAATAGAAATTATGTACCTAATTTAAGAAAAACTAAGTTTTGTCCGCGACTTCGCCCCGGTGTTGTTTAATAAAAATGTAATTCGGTTTTACACTCTTGTTCTAGACATAGTATTTGTCAATTCTATCAATAAGATTCGTAATTTTATCTTAAATTAATTAATTATATAAAGAATTGCTAATAATGCACTTCAGCACGCCATCTCGGATTCAACTATTTAACTATAACTATGATTGAATCTCAATTCCAACTTTTATTCTATCGAAAAATGCTGTCTTTAGGGTTTTCCTGGAAATTATTCAAATTTTTCTCACCGTAAAAACCATTCTGAGACTTTAACAAACATTTAAAAAAAGAATTGGCCATATTGATCTAGGCGTTGTTGATTTTTGCGCTTACCAACATATTTTTCGATTTATTTTTATATTATAAAAGAATAGTATAAAAAAATACTTTATGTGAATCTTAATTTTCATTTAAATTAGTTTTATGCCTAAAAAACACGAAAAATTTTAACAAAATAAAAATAATTCCTCCTCCAGGCTGAATTGGTCTCCGTGGAAAGCAAAGAAATCGAAAGCCATTATGTACTTGCACGCGAACCAATCCACAAATGGAATTCATCATCCGATTGCTATCTGCTCATCGAGGGCGTCGAACACACCCTTCAAGTGAGTAATAATATTCGGCGCAGATAACGTGTGACTAAATAATTACATACAATTACAATTTCCTCTCCTCCGCAGCCCGAGGAAGAAGCTCACGTGGCAATCCTATCGACATGTCCGTGTGAGCGCGACCTGCATTACGTCATCACGACCGATGGGCGCGTCACGGATTGGGCGCAGCGCCGCTACGAGGACCCGCTGCCAGCGGCCGGGAGCGCCGCGCAACCTGCGGGCGCCGTCTGCCGATTGAATTTCAGGTGAGTTACATACTTGAAAACATCTCTCCAGACTCACTATATCATGTTTTATAATACGTACACTCAAGTTACCCCATGGTTCAAGCACCATTCTCGTGAGGTTGTGTTAGCGTTATTAATATTATAAATAAAAGCGTCTCCGGCGCCCATCAAGCTGAAGCGATAGCACGGATCGGGTTTTGCAGGTAACAGAGATAACGAGAACTGCGGCACGTAACGCTCACGTTTCGTTCTTAACGTGACGCGCAGAATATCAGAATATGATACGTGATATCTCACTGATCTTGGTTATATAATACGTATTTTAATGCGGAGCTCATATTTTCAGGTTATTTGAACGTAGGCAACCTAATTTACTAGTTATGTATGTCAAATGTCAAATAGCAGTCTGATGCAATCTTTATAACCTCAAATGGATATTTTTTCCTGCAGAAATGTCGTTAAATCCACGTTTTTAAAATCGCTTCTAAGAGCATTGTATATGATAAAACGTTTTGGAGGATGTCGCGCATAAAACGTTGCGCGGTTTTGTGTGGAAACTGGAGAAGCAATATGGCGCGGCTGGGAAATTTATAATTTTCGTTTTTAACCTCTCGTAGAGTGCGCGTCTCGGCTGGTGACAGTTATGAGGTATTTTGAGCCGGAGCCGCCGTCGTCTACGTGCGAGTTCAAGACGTTCACGTTATGCTCCTAGCTGCCTCTTATATTTCGACTTTTTTTTCTCTCGCTACACAACATTTTTCGCTTCTTTTTCACGTTACTTTGAACCGTCTGCCACGGTTTATTTTCCTCTCAGTTTTTATATTGCGGTTTTTACATAATAAATTTGTTACCAAAATAACTTTAAGCTCTTTTTCGAGGCCTCTATGCGGGACTTGTCAAACAAGATGGCCGACTTAACGAATTTTCTCGATTGTGCTCGTTAGTCCAAACGGGAATTAACGCGGGCCGTGCTAGTTTTTAAACTTTGCTTTATCCTCACTTGTTTAGAACGCAAACCTTTACCCTTTTCAATTAACTCTCGGCAATCTCGCTGCCAACTTCGGCGCGGCTTTACTTTCCACCGCCGCGGATTGATTGACAACCGAAAGTTGGAAGGTTTTCGCTACAAGGTTTTACAAACTCGTTTGCACGCTGCGACTGCGACCGCAGGCCCTGATTTTCAGGCGCAAATCTTGCCCCAAGAGGTTTTTGTCATTCTCTGCAAGGTTTTAACAAAAAAGTAATCATTAAATCAGCAAAAAGTTTTCCAAGCAAAGCGAAATTTCGTATTTGAAAATAAGTTAATTAGTTTTTTACTGAAATCCGTTCAGAAGTAATGATTTAGTGCCTCAAACAGTTTAAAAAAAAATTATTTCTCTTACAAAATTTTAATTTCCAATATGTTTCACTATAGTTAGTATAATATACTGTTAATAAATTGAAAACAGTATATTAAATATCAAGTTGGACTTTTTGTCACAAAGTTTATTAAAATCGAGCATAGCGAGCGTGACTACAGCCCGTGACTAAAGTACTTTAGTCACGGCCTTCCCCAACTGTGTTTAAAGTACCGCTTTTTGTGTTTCAAAATCTGGCGCTTTAAAGGTGAAAGTAGAAAAATTAAAATTTCTGTTATCAGTGATTATGTTAAAATAATTGCTTCTAAAAAAATTATTTAACAAAATGTCAATAAGTTAGTTTTTGTCAAATCTGATATTCCCGTCTGATAAAACGAATTTCGTCGGCGCTGTGGTAGGATAAATTTCACGAACCAACGGATCGCGAACTTCATTAGACACGACTATCTACTTTTATCGTAATGAGCTTACTCTCGGCGCGCGAGAGCGAAATTCGCTCTTCTCACTTTTACACGCGCCGGTAAGTAGAGCGATATCGACAAAGTCTAGACTCAAGACTATGTATTGTGCACAACAAAGGCACCACCGAAACCGAGACAAGAGGCACTTGGTTGGCGAAGCCAAACTATTAATATTTCGAACGTTTGTACTTGTAATCAGCAGCAAACAAACAATAAAATTAAGCACAACTGTCTTGCAATTTTATTTTATTTGTGCCTGACATTATAAAGTAAATATAATGTTATGTTGTTGTGTTTGTTATTATTTACATAAAGTGAACAAGTGTGGGTTTTGAGTTGGCAGTTTTTATGCGCGAATATGAAAACAACACATTTGTCTTGGTTTTAATGTCAATAAGAGCAGCTTAGCGCCATCTCTGATTTATTTATATAACGATAGCAACTATGAATTATTCTATAATATAAAAATGAATCTCAAAATCTGTTTGTAAACGCATAACTCAACAACGCTTTGACCAATTTGGCCATTTCTTTTTTTTAAATGTTCGTTAACGTCCAAGGATGGTTTACATGGCGAGAAAAATTCAAATAATTGCCGGGGAAACCCAAAAGACAGCCCTTTTCTATAGAATAAAAGTTGGCATTGAGATTCAATCATAGTTATATTTAAATAGTTGAATCCGAGATGACGCGCTGAAGTGCACTATTTGCAATTCTTTCTAAATAAAATTACGAATCTTATTGATAGAATTGACACATACTATGACTAGAACAAGAGAGTAAAAACCAATTACATTTTTATCACTATTAAAACATTCATAACGTATTTTATCCGTTTTAAAGTTAATTTTTTGAACACTTAACTCATGTTTTCCAAGCTATAATTTTTGTTTATGCTCTCATTCAGCAAAAATTGCTTTAGCCGATATTGAAGCCCAATTTTTTATTTGCTGTTTTTCACTCGAAATAGGAAAATAAATTTAACGTTGTATATTAATTTTTATTTTTTAACATCAAAAGTGACTTAACCCCAACTTAACTACTTTAATATTGTCTAGAATTAATATAAGCGAATTGCATTCTGCGTAAGTTTGCGGTTTCGTATAATCGCACGCGTTGCACTGACATCTTTAAGACGCTCACAACCCTCACAACCCCTCGACGTCCTGGTGTGCTTGTCAGTGTCGAAATTGGCGGTCGAACATCTGCCACCAAACCGGGCTCTACTGCCGAATCCAGCTGCTGCTTACAATTTCTATTTTCGCTCCCCTTACTTCTCGATAGTCTTCTCGCAGTCGCGCCGTTGGCTCGGACAAGATGTAAGTATCGAGGAGCGAATGCATAGCAATAACCACAAGGACTGCATGACAAGCAGCCACTGGGCTGCCGGCCGAGGACGACAAATAAACAAGTCGGTCGCGGTGTGCTCGAGTTTCCAAAGCGTAACTTCCTACTGAAATGGGGTCCACTTTTAGACGAATGTGTACCACATTCAGAGAGTGCTTTTGACTTTAACTTTATAGAGTCAGTGGGTATACATTTACGTATCTAGGGATTTGTCAAAAAGTTTATTGACCTAGTTTACACTAATTAGTATAATATTATAAAAGGAAATCTGTGTATGTTTGTTATGCTTTAACACAAAAGCCAGTGAATAAATTTTTATAAATTTTGGTACAATAATATTTTAGATCATATAAAATAACATAGGCTATATTATGTCACTAAAATATAATTTACAGGGTGTAAAAAAGAGATGAAAATTGGTATGTAAATTAATAATAGTTTTAGTTATAAAATTTGAATACAGATGGCCCTAAAAGGCATTATTAACAATTTTATTTGATTTTTTTATTAAAATTTACGCGAAGCAAAAGTTTGTATGATATTTTTATTACTTTCATTTGTGAATACGTAATCCATTGTATATTTTAAAATATTTATTTATAAAATTCTACGTGATTTTATTGGATTTTACAATTTTATATGTTAAGTTAACATGTTTTACCCTGAGGGCATCTTCATGCCGAATTTTATAAATAAATATTTTAAAATTAGTATGATATATAAATAACCATGATTGAAAATCAACAAAAACAACAAAAATCGTAATATTTCTGGTCCAAATTGAGACAAAAAAAAGACTAAATCCGATTTGACAGTCACTGACATGGCGCTAATAAGAGAATTCCACCAGCTGTCACGCTTCGATCCCTCGACAACGACAGCTCCTCCATCCAGCCAACTGCAGCCGCTTCCGCTTCCGAGTGTTTCGATATTATTATTAATAAGCCGGCTTAAGTTTTCGCCGCTTGCACTGCGTCCATTTGGCCGGTAATGGCGCGCAATAAGGCGATTATTAAAACGTTTTCGATTCCACGCAGAGAATATTAATGCTGTGCCGATTGGGAACTGTAGCAGATTAAAACTAAAAATGTTTTTCCAGACTTAGGGGACTTTTGCTCGCGCCGATTTAATCGAGCGATTTTCATCCGACGAATAAATATATGTGTATATATATATAGAAAGTTTGCGCCCGAACTGCGTGTTAAGCTCTGATTGTTTATTGTGCCTGGCTTAACCAGGTTTCTTAAAACTGGCAGGCGGCAGTCGAGTGGAGGAGAAAACTTTGCTCGCAAATTTTCACGTGGATTATACGCTTAAACTGTTGGAGTCTGTTCATCGGTTAAATTATTATTGTTCGTGCCGGGCGTAAAAAGACGTTAATTAAGTTGATCAGTGCTTCATTTGCATTTAGAAGAAAAAGTTTTATGTAAAATTTTTTATAAATAAATATTAATGAATAATTATTTTCTAAATTGAATTAGATGTTGAAAGTTCTCTTTTTATTTAAAAGCGACATGACTAAAGCATTAAGTGGAATTGCATTTGAACATTGTGCATTCGTCCGGGTCGAGGAATGCTTTCGATTCGACGACATTCAATAATAAATCACTACCAACTGCGACGAGTGCGAATTTCGCAGCCACGGGAGGCGCACCAGATGCCTTTTCATTATTTCGACTCGCTCGCTCGATCCTAATTACGAACTTTGCGACGCGGCGAATGCAATAAATGCATGTTTGACATGCAGTCATTGAATTGTTTCCGGGTGTAGACTACGTCTGTGCATGCTGCGGCTCCTCTTCAATAGTAGGATTAATGTGGTAAACATCAATTCTGACTATTCAAAGCTTTGCAGCCAGCAGCACAATAGTGACTATAATCTCTTTTTCGACATTGCCAAAATTGTAATGCATTCATATTCATAACTCCAAAAATGCTTTTTACAATTTAATAATATGTAAATTTTAGGAATATTTAACATATGAACAAATTTTATAAATTTTAGCATTTATTTCCAATATAACTGGAAATTTTGATAAAATTCATTCGAAATTTCCATTCCAGTTACGAATTTATTAGTTGGATATTAACGAGCAGCTTCCGCATGGCCAATCACAATGACCGTACACCCCCGGGGCTAAAACGTAAAAACAAAGAGCGCAATATACAAAAATACGTCCAACAGAGGGAAAAAAAATGGGTGTCGCAAATTGCGCTCGTAATTTCGTTGCCCTTTATCAACTCGACGCTTCCGCGCTTTGACTTTCATCCTCGCAATCGTGCGCACGTTCATAAAACTCCCTAATAATAGTTTTATAGGTCATCTGCTTTTACGATATCCACTGCGTTCATTATCGGCCGGGTGCGAGTTAATGACCGTAATAATATCGAAGGAAGCAACCCCTCCTGCGCGGAAATTGACGAAGGGGTGCGCGATAGAATGAAAAATTTCCTGTTGGTTTTTCTTTTTAAATTGACCTGCGATAAGGATCTCCATAAAGATGGAAATTGATGCATTTGAAATTTACATTTTATTACTCTCCAAAGGAATATAATTTAATATCTGCTGTATTAACTTTCAACTACAATCAAAATTATACTCAAAAGATGCATATATAAATAATGCAGAGATGAAATGTATGCTCTATGACCTCAAGAACCTTCTGTGAAAGGTCTGCGTTTGCGTATTATAATTAGAAGCAAATATTTGCGTTAGATTAATATCGCGCGTTCGTATCTTTCCATCTTTCGTTTGCCTACGTTTGATTGTTTGATAACGGTAAATATTGTTCGTGTTTCGACTTTTTTAGAGAGTAAATTATTATGATGACCTTGATATTTAAACATAACTATTTTTCAAATTATACAACAATAATATAAAAATGAATTGCAAAATTTGTTGGTAAGCGCATTACTCATCAACGCCTAAACCAATTTGGCCAATTCTTTTTTTAAATGTTCGTTAAAGTCCAAGGATGGTTTATACGGCAAGAAAATTTTAAATAATTACCGGGAAAACCTTAAAGACAGCCCTTTTCTCTAGGATAAAAGTTGGCATTGAGATTCAATCATAGTTATAGTTAAATAGTTGAATCGGAGATGGCGCGCTAAAGTGCATTATTAGCAATGTTTTATATAATTAATTTCTTTAAAATAAAATTGCGAATCTAATTGATAGAATTGATACATACTATGTTTAGAACAAGAGAGTAAAAACGAATTACATTTTTATTAAACACTACCGGGCAAAAGCTAGTAGCTACATAAAGCATCATAAATACTAATTATTATTATGTTTGTTATTGTTTACAGTTTCAATGTGAGATCTGTAATGGCGCCTGTCAGTCAACTCCTGGTTTACTACATCACCCCACAGGGTGAACCCGTCAGCGATGTGATCAGCTTCGACGTTAAACTGCTACATCGACAGGTAAGTCAATGTATGGCAAATTGCAAACAAGAAATCAAAATGGCGGAACTCAACTTACCTGGCTTACTATACAGCTAGTAATCTAGTAGAAAGGAATAGTGAATAATATATTAACATACGCACAAATGCACCGCGCTCACAGTAAATCACATCATCAATCGTCCATAATACGCATTTACGCAGCCGGAGTAATCAGTAATCATGTTAAATCTAACGTTTAATTTGTAAACTGCATTTGCCTCACGTCACTACGTCGCTGTACATTGAGTTGCATACATTATATATGTCTAGGTGTATATTATGATGGAAGAGCGCGAATGGTGGCTACCGAATCAAGCCCTTGACTTGGAGGTGATTGCGGAATCGTCGTCGTTAGTCTGTCTGCTTGGAGGACGATCTGGTGGCGGTAATGATGTCCGGTTTGACCCGCGCATCAGTGAAGAACGCTACGAGAACAGTATCACTGGTGAAGTGGACTTTCTGGAAGCAGGAGTGTCGTTCTTTCAACGGCAGTGTGTTAAACACGATACAGGAATGTCAGCAGTGTCATACAGGCAGCGAGGATCCGGAGCTGGACCTGCATCAAACCGGAGGAGACCACCGGAGAGTTTAGTCGGAGGCACAGCGTTGGATCAATTGTGGTTATGGAAATGTTTTAATTACACGTAAGTTGAAAAGTTGAAGAAAAGTTGTTGTAACATCATGTATAATACAAAATGGTAATAGAACGCTTCGGTTTCGATTTATTTTTATTTATTCCGTGTTATCGCTTTCACGGAACATTGTGACCGGCAATAAAATCGTCCTTGTGGGTTGTAACTGCGCAGGCAGATGGCGTCGTTTGAGGTGGGCGCGGGTCACCATAGTTCCCTGGAGAGCAAGTCGTAAAAAATGTCACCTTTTAATGGCGGGCTACGTGTACACAACAATTTATACAGAGTGTTTAAAAAAATCAATAAAAAGTCAAAAATCGTTAAAATATTTGGAATTGTTGGGCATCAAAATAACTCTGTTGCACCACAAGTTACATTTTAATAACTGACCGAGTGCAATTTAATGAAAAGGTTCTATTGAACGATTTTAACCCGCGATTTTTTTTTTCATGAAGCTGTTTGGGTAATTGCGTATGTTACACGTGATGCTTGCGGCGCAAGCGGAAATCGTAAAGGAATTGTGCAAAAATTGAAAAAATCAAATGCCCGCCAGCGCGAGAGCGCCAACACCAAATGAACGAAATTGTTTTCCGCTTCGTTTTCCAACTGTTTTTTTCCAACTCAGATAAAACGTTCAATTCACACGCAGAAAAAATTAATTGCTTTGCGAACGCCCAGGTTTACATCATTTGCTTCGCTACTAAAAACTAATTTAGCAATTTTACTAATAAAGGCGTTTTTATTTTTTGTTTCGAAGATTTTGAATTCAAAAAGAAAAGCTAAATCGTAAAGTAGCATATCGTGCTTGAGTTATGGATGACCGCGGTCTCGTAAATCGCCCTCTAAGCTCGCCTAATCGCGTTGCAGACATTGTTTGCTTGCCCCCGCCCGACTATCTTTCAACCCTTGATGCACGCACAGCACACCAGCGCTTCTCTCCCCTTTGAAGCTAGCCATTTCCGCATTTCTCAACCTTTATATTGCGACGAGATTTATATAGCGCCGGGACCACCCCATCGTGTGCGCGAAACGAAATTAACAACATTCCGATGTCGACATGTCGCATTCCGCCATCGCCATTAACCCTCGCCACTTATTAAGTACGTAATAAACACCACCAAAATGGAGGATGAACTGAAACAGTAAATTAATCTAATCACAAGAGTAACATTCAAAATATCCAAAGATATTAATAAATTGATATTACATATTTTTTTTAATATTTTATCAAAAATTGCCTTCAAATTGTTTAGATTCTTAGCAATTTCTTGCTTTTTCACAAACAACACTTTTCAAACTATTGCACGGTCCATCGTTCCATTCGCTTGTATTCTTCGTATCAGGAAAAGTATGCGCACAGTGTTCAATATTGCCAGCGTTATCTGGTTGACCTTTTAACCAATGTGTATAAACAAACGGTTGTCCAGTTGATGCCCATACGTATGTTCCTTCTTTGCCTAAATCGGTGCCACCCAACCAAAATGATGCACTTTCCATGCCTAAAAAGTTTTTTTTATAATAATAATGCAATCTTTAAATTGAGGCGACAAGCAAGTGTTTACCAGCTTTCTTTATAGTATTCTCCAAAGTGTCCTGTTCACTTTGGCTATTGACCGTCGCCAATTGCAATTTTTGTCGAGCACAATGTTCAGACGCTTGGAACCAATTTAACTTATTATTAAACATACAATTATTAACAATTACAACGAAATATATATTAATAATATATAATTCAATATAATTCGTACCCAAAGGTTCTTTGTTATGTAGTAAGTTTTTATAAAACTTTGCTGCTGATGGGAAACACTGAACACCGCCAATAATAAGCAAATTAACTTCATTTTGACAATGAGTAAATGATATTTTTCCATTTTGTGACTGCTTATATGCAGTTTAAGTCAAAGTTAAAAATATATACTAATAAATTTACTTCCACTTATAGGAGTACTTATGGCATGTTTTATGGGTAAATAATTATGTTTAAAATGCTATTTTACGATTTTAACTTTTGCTAATTCTATAAATATACGTATATAATGATAAGTTCATTAAACAACTAGCTTTTGCCCGTGATTTCGTCCCGGTAGTGTTTAATAAAAATGTTGTTTGTTTTCACTCTCTTGTTCTGGACATAGTATGTGTCAATTATATGAATAAAATTCCCAACTTAATTTTAAAGAAATTAATTATATAGAGAATTGCAACTAATGCACTTTAGCACGCCATCTGGGATTCAACCTTTCAAATTTTTCTCATGGTAAAAAACATTCTTGGACTTTAACGAACATTTTAATTAAAGAATTGGCCAAATTGTTCTAGATATTGTTGAGTTATGCGCTTACCAACAGAATTTGCGATTCATATGTATATTATAGATGCTGCGTAGCTAACAAATATAAATCGAAAATTTTCTCTGGCTTTATGCCGACTCCTTAAATATGATTCTTATTTTAAATGTAAACAAATATAAAATGCAAAATAGTGCATCTTTGGTTTGGTCAAAAGTACTTTTAATCCAAAATTTACAAAAATTGGGCAAATATTCCACCGTGAAAGCGTTGAAAGCAAAGAAATAAACAAATTTACATTTATATTTATAGTATATGTTTGAATGATAAAAATTGATTACTTATTATTACTTATTACTTACTTATTAATTTACTACTATACATAGAATACATTTTTTAGTTTAGTTTCAGTCCTAAACTAAAAATCTTTATTTTTGTTGTTCTTTTTACAGTGCTGAAATAGCATCCTCTGGTCTGACAATCACCGGCCCATCCGAAGCGGGCAAATGGTCCCTTTGGGCATTGACCGTCTCGACCAACGGCGGGTTGCGCTTCTCCGCTCCCGTGAATATTAAAGTTTTCCGCCCGCTGCAAGCCGAATTCCATCTGCCTCCAACTCTGCGAGTGCGCGAAACCTTGGAAGTCGATATCAAAATTAGCAACAATATCAACTCCTGCATGGATGTAAGCTCATCTCCATTAATTACCTTCTCCCCATTATAATTTGTTTACATTGTATTCCTATACAGATTACAGCTTTATTGGCATTGAGTGAAGGCGCTCAGTTTCTCAGCAATGGTCTACTCTACGTCACGGAGAGATTACGCCTTGGGCCTCAGGGTGCAACATCCTTAGTGGTCCGATTACTGGTCACTACACCAGGGCTTAAAAACATGACAGGTATAGATAATTATTTTGAGTTATTAATGCTACGCCCGTAATAAACGCATATCACAGATTGAATCAAAATATTCGTCGATTCAATTATGCTGATGCAGTGAGTTTATAATTGCAGGACGTGTGATTATCGATTGACGCAATTATTTCTGACGATTATGACGCTTTAATGAAGCCGGGAGTGCGATGCCGCGACGCGCCCCCAGAGAGTGCACAATAATCCATCATCAATTATAATTAACGTACTTTTGTTTCCGGGGCATTCAGCTTCCAGCGCAATAGTTGCAACCCAAGCGGATACTCAGAAATAGTTTGAATATTAGTTTATTAATTGTGTGCGCATTATTCACTTCATTCATGTGCATACTTGTCGGTTTAGTAATTGTAATTAATTTGATAGAATAAATATACAGTGTGGTAATTTGAAAGGAAACTTACACACTGCGTAAATATTTACAATGAGGCAATTTTGTTCGATTGTGGATTTCCTGTTCACGTTGTGTTCAATCCTTTGCTCGAAAACAAATAAACGAACAGAAGAAGCTTATTCGCTTCACTTTTCGTAGATTTTCTTGTTTTTTTTTTTGTTTTGAAAAAATAAAAATTTTATTTAATATAAACATGAACATTTCAGTGGAAGTCAATGGTTATAGCAGTCCTTCCTGTGATGGTACAGAAGGTGTAAGTAACACATCTCTAGCTGGTGCAGTGGTACGTTCTGGAACTGTCAACGTGCTTCCCGAAGGCGTAGTGAAAACCGACACGGAGAGCGCATACTTTTGCGCCAACGGTAATGACGTTATTTGTACCAAATGCCCGCAATTTATTGGAAAGCTATAACAATTTGTTCCAAATGCTGTGCAGAGAACATGATCATCTCAACGGTGGACAGCTTCAAGTACGAATGGATCGGCGCGCCTCGGAATCGCGATGGCATCATCATGGAAATCAAGAGCGACGGCGGCAAACGATCAGGTCCCGTGCATGTCGCGCTCGCCAGCAGTCATCTGCCCAACGACAAGATGTACAAGATCACGCTAGGGGCCGCCGAGAATACGATAAGTTGGTTGGGACGTGGCAAGCATGGTATGAATACGAAATTTCCTCATAAAACTCGTCCGAGTAGAAAAAAATATAATGTTGTAGAATATGATGTGCAACTTGTGAGCATTCCGACACCGGGCATCCTCTCACAGGATGAATGGCGTACATTTTGGTTAACATGGGAGAAGGGAATCATCGCATTTGGGCGCGGCTCAACACTGATGAATCAGACACTCTTCAAGTGGAAGATGGACAAGAAGGTGAAGATCCAACAGATCGGCTTTGCGTCTGCATGGGGCAGCCTTGCCGAATTCAGGTAATTACCGCACGCGATCAATCACATTGTGTTGGAAGCATTCCACGCAGGAGTAGTGCGTTTGTACGCAATTAAAGCTCACACGCTTTGTTTCGCATCGTTCAATTAAAGCCGCCGCTGCGGAGAGAAAACTGCAAACTGCTTGCTGCTTGGCACGCCGCGCACGTTTCTTTCGTTCCGGTGGTTTTATTTGGTGTATCGGGCTGAATTTGATTGATGATGCGGTGTGCGAGCGAAGGCACGCAGAAGAAGAAAGCATCGATCTATCGACGTCGGGGCAGTTTTCTTTGTGCAGGGCGATCTTTCAAAAGGCTTAAACTAGATTGATAACATCTCAACGATGCGCTCTATACAAGTAACAGTTTCTGAAACTTTCCTCGAAACTAAAAACTTGGCCCAGTTTGTTTATCCAAACTTGTATTCCTTACAGAGTGTGGAATTTCAACGATGAATCAGGATTCTCGCAGGTTCTCCATCTCGACACGCCAAAATCTGTAGTTCCAGGTTCGGAGTCTGGGGAACTTCAGATTTCTGGTGGTTTGGCATTGCCTACATTTACTAGATCTCATCAAACCGGTGCACTTTCTGATACACTCTCTACTCTTACCAATTTACTTGCTCTGCAACATATGGGTTCGAAAGCTAATGAAACGTTGCGTCAAGATGCTTTTGATAACCTCCCGGGACAAATTCAGACTATGCTAGCTTACCGCAAGGAGGACAACTCGTTCAGCGAGCATCAGATGTTAGCTAGCCATAAATCCACGGTGCAAGTGCTGGAAGCGCTCACCAAAGTGCAGAACCATTTCGGCATTGATCCGGAGCTAATCCGTGGCGTTAAGAAGTGGGTTCAACTGAGGCAGGAGGACGATGGCAGTTTTGCGCCCTTGAAAGCGGATCTCAAGTATCCGAACGCAAGCGGTATCGCCCTTCACGATGTGGTGGAGATTACCGCTGAGACAGTGATCGCGCTCTACGAGATTGGGATTGATAACGATGCGGATGCCGATACGGTGCAGAAGGCGAAGGTTTATCTAGAGAATGCGCTACCTAATCTCAAATCGACCGAAACTATTGCAGCCGTCACGCTGGCGTTGTTGTTGGCGAGGAGCGCCACAGCTTCATGGGCAGTGGAAAGATTGAGGAACATTTCAACTTCGGATGATGGAGAATTTGGATGGCCACATGTTGTACCAAAGAGGGATGCAGCTGACTGGTTGTATGAGTCTGAAGCAGGGAAAACTCTAAAAGAACCTTTGATTGGTAAGTTTATTAATTTACTTTTATTTTTATTGTAATAATAGATAAAATTACGTTTATAGCTACAGTAGAGGAATACAAAGCATCACTGTATGCATTGTCGACATTCTGTCTGATTGGTGATTTAAAATTCGCTGAATCAGTCACACGGTATCTCTTCTATCGCTCGCATATGCTGGACAAACATGGCGAATTACTTTATCCGGCGGTCAAAGCCTTTGGACGGTATGACGCTCTTGCAAAGGATAAGCATCGGTCTCTGACGATTTCTCTCGCTACGTCCGGAATGGAGCTTACTGATACACTCGAATTGAAACCTGATAAACTACCAGATATTCTACATTTACCCAGTTTACCAACCAAAGTGTTTGTGTATGCAACTGGTGCTGGATGTGCAACAGTCACTGTAAGTTCAAATCACAAATTGAGTTTTGAATAAAATTTTAACTACATTTTAATATTTTAGGGTAAAACAATGTATTCCACATATTCTGCGTTGAGTACTACACCTTTATTGGAACTCTATTCAGCTGTAGTGCAAGAAATTCTACCAGATCGCAGCTCTGTTGAGGAAATTGAAGGAAAATCACCAATGTTAAAGATAAAAACTTGTTTCCGTTGGAAACATCCCCAACCATCTGGGGTGCTACGCATGGAAGTGGCATTGTTTTCCGGTTTTGAGCTGACAGGAGCGCCGCCATATTTAATAGACCCTATGGAAAATATGGCCGAAATGGAGCATGGTTATAACGCAAACAATTTGTGGTTTGTTTTTGCAAATGTTTCCTCTGCATGTCCGGTTTGCGTTCAGTATTTAGCACGAAGTGTCTACGTCATTTCCTCGCTGAGACCTGCGTACGCAAAGATCTACCCAGCTAACAGAGAAGATCTTGCTGCCGAAGCATTTTTCCACACACAAATTGGCAGTCCATTGTTGCAAGGTATTACCGAAGATGATTTGATTACATGGTTTGGAAAGAATTCGACTAATAACAGTGAAATACTCAATGAATGTATTACAAAACAAGTGACAACCACACCTGCGCAAAGTGAAATTACTGAAACAACAGAAACCACTACTCTGCCTACTGATATTGTTAAAATAACAACCAGTCAAGGAGCAATTAAAGAAGATTTAAGCGTTACTACATACACAATCAATGTGGATAATAATTCAATCAGGAATTTGACCAAAGATCGGTTTTTAATTGAACCTACAGCAGTGCCAATAAAACTCGTAGCTACAACTGTTTCCAGTGCCACGACTGTTACTAATATGGCGACCACTAATACAGTAACGCCCTCTGTAGTACAAAGCACAGCCGCGCCAATAAAAAGCACTAAAACAGACGAGATTATTGTTCAAGGTAAAGACGTGGAAGTCTCTACCATTCCAGATGCCAAAATCGAAGATAATTTAATTGAAACGCACGACAGCAAGCCAATCATTGATGCCAAAATGGACGCCACCGAGGTGGATGTCATTTCGGTCACTAACGAACCGAATCAACTCATCGTTGACCTCAACGTCCAGCCACCAAAGCACATAAACACCGAGAAACTGCCTGAAATTCCGGCGGAACTAATCGAAAACGTGCCAACGACCGAGGAGCCAAAAGCGACGTTTGCGCCAGAACTGAAAAACGATCGCTACGTTCTTCTCGACAAGGAAGCTCTATGGGGCATGCTGAAGGAAGTCGTCGACGACGAGTTACGCAAGAGCAATAGCAAACTGTTCGATGGAGAACGCCTCAGACGTCAGGGCTACTCGTAAATAACAAACCTGAAAATGTGATCCAACATTGAGAAAAATGAAAGACTATTAAAGACTATTTTACATGTTGCATGTTTACAAAATTGGACGCAGTTGAATGTGAAATTTATGAACGTACACACCAAGTTTTGTATATAGATAAGATGGCGGCCAACTAGCTGCGACCACGTAAAGCTTTCACACAATATTTGTGCCAAAACCAAAATATGAGACACTTCTTTCGAACAAAACACTTCCCACTAGAGCACAAGACCTTTTGTAACATATATATTACTGTAAATATTTTTAGGGAGAAGAAGCGCAAAAGAAAGTGTTACCATTCCGCCCAAACAAGAAGAAAAACAAACATAAAACTGTACAATGGTGCCAAACCGGAAGTGAAGAAAGTTTTTAAAAACCCTGATGGGATTGGAGGTGCACGACACTTTTCTAAACGTTTACTTGTCGAAACATCGAATTTTTTAATGTACGCCAAATAGGTGCGAGTATAAAAACTTCTAGTTAAAACGTATTGTACTACTCTAAACATGAAAATGCTACACACACAGAAATGTATTTAACGGAAAGCAACAACACCTCTATGATGAAGCACATTTTGTAAATACATTTTCTCGAGCCCTTGTTCCGTCACTATACTATATACTTATAAATATAAAAATTAAACGTATAAAATTAATAATAACTATATATTTTATAAATATTTGCACGTCAATTCATTATTACTTGTATCGATATAATATCTAAAGCCAAAAGTCGATGTTGACGCCAAAAAAAAAACCTAAATGATACGCGCGTTTACGTTGGGTTTAGTTTTGTTCTTAACGTCAAACTAAGCTCAATTTAAACAATCAGTAGATGATTAATATTACTGTAATATTAAATACCTTAGAGTACACTAAATACATGAACCCGTAACGATAAGAAAATGCGTCAATAAAATCGTATTTATTTGTAAATAACTCGTAGGATGCGTGCGCTCAATAAAGCTAAGGAAGTAATCAAGTTAAAGCAAGTAAACAAACATGAACATTACACAGAAGCAATATTAATGATTCTGTTGCGCGAGTAGTGACAAGTTCAACTTGGAGCAAAGCATGTGAAGATGTGTAAGAAATAATTGATATGTGGCTGCGTTATTAGCTCTATTTTAAATACACGATTCCACAGAAATGACAAAAAGAAGTATTAATGTATTCATGTCATATCAATGTTAATAAAATTGCATTTAAAAAAATAATAAATCTATGTTCTTTACTGTATATTTGTTAATTTAATTTGATTTGGTTCAGAATATAGAATGCAGGAATATTTACGTTAGTTTCTGCAATTTTTTGTAAACAAAGCTTGTTTTGAAAGGAATAATTCAACCGAAATGCTTATCTTATTATGGCAAGCATGAAGAATTAAATACAAATAAGTGCATTCTAGCGCTATCTAGGAAGAAACTATGGAACTATATTCAAAAATGTTATCTTGGTGCATTGGTTTTTGCAAGCAAATGGCCAAATTCAGTCTTGAAGTTTTAAGGAAATGATTCATACAAGCTATTTCTATTATACTCCAATAGAAAAAAGAACTTTGCAAAAATTACAGTGCAAATGCGCAAAATTTTGGAAAAAATAGTACATTTTGACAAGAATAAGCACTTTTCAGAATTTTGCATGCAAAAGAGAGTCAAACACTATGAAAAACATTAAATTACTCTCAAGTTCTCAATTTCTACAAGAAAAAATGTTTTTAATGCAAAATTTTTGAAATCTGAATTTTTTGTCAGATTTGACAAGAAATTTTTTAACGGCTCAGAAGTTGGTAGCAATGTGAAAGTAGTCAAAGTAGTTAGAAGTAATGGCTCTTCAAGTATGTCATAAATATTTAAATTCAATAATTTGTGTATAAATTTAATTAAAGCACCAGTTCTGTTTTCGTTATTACTTACATTGTGAAAATAGTTAAATCAAAAATCAAGTGGCGTTTTTGCCGCGCCAATTGTTCCACATCCACCGGAAACTTGATGCCGCTTTTGTTTCTCATCTTTGGGATCCAAATCATAACCTAAAGATAACCAAAATGAACATAACCTATATGAATATAACATTTAAATTCAAGACTCACCAGCGGGTAAGTAAAATTTCTCAATACATAACTTCTTTCGAAGTAATTTAAACGTATAATCAACTGCACCCGGATGTGAGGATAACAAAGAATTAATGGCTGCTAATTTGTCAATATAGAAAAAGCCATGAAAATCAGATAAAACTTTGTTTTTCTCATAGTGTGTGCCTGAGAATGAAACCAGTCGCAACGCTATATCGCACGCGTTGATTAAACGAGCATTATATATCTTCTTTAACTAAAATTAAAGTAAAACCTTGTGAAATTGATATAATGTGTACAGATTTCTCTTACTTTTTCATTTAAATGAGTGGGAATCGAAATCATTGCAATTGCAAAACAATTCCTTAGTATACATCTTAAAAAATACATAAACTTAGCCAACTCATCTAAATCATCCCACATGAGTGTGCCTAATTGATGTATACAAACTCTCAAGATGTTTTTGTTGCTAAAGTTACCATCATTAGCAAACTTTGAATCTTGTACTAATTTGTTAATATGATTTATTACAGAATTCAAAGTTTTATTCTTAAAAAGGTTTTTATCTTGGCCTAACAAAATATTGTCTTCACTGAAACACATATGATGATTTGAATCAATATCTTGACTTGGCATTGATTCAGATAAATCATAATAGTGTCCAAATATGGATTGTGCTTCTTTTTCATTCGTTGGTAAATTCTGATATCGAAATGCAATTTTCATCTGTTGATCATCTTGTTTATTGTGACCTTTGTCTTTTGGCTGTTCTTTAGCCAAAGCAGGCAGATTCTTTAGTAATTCATTAGGATCATGATCCAAACTAACTGTTACTGAATGTTGACCACATGCAACACCTTCCACAAGGAAATATTTCAGTAGAGTTTTAGCAAATATTCCATGTTCATCTTCTTCTATAAGTGTTATTGATCCAACTGGTATACCTCCACCTAAAAACACAATAGTTATTAAATTTTACAACAATATTTTAATAATTACCTAAAACTTTATCTAAACTAGGAACACCAGTCGATACCAACAACTGTGAGTTCAGAGGATTTGCTTTAGTTCCTGGTATTCCAACCATGATAAAAGAATATAATAATAATTTATTATATGTTCTTAAATATAATTACAGCTGTTATAGTGTTTTAGTTAAATTTTATTAAAAACAAGTTGCTTTTATTAAACTTTAACCTGAAAGTTGTTTAGTATTTGTATTATCCGCGAGATGTCGATAGTATTCATGTTTCATGTATTAAACGGATCTAATTTTTAAAGTCAATGCTTGAAGTTGAAGTTCAGTCCGTTTTTGTAATTTTAAATTAATGTTGTGATACAATCATGAGTGTAACGTCCAACTCTTTTGATGACCAGTTGGTTGATTTGATATGCGTGAAGAAAACTACGACTTCAGTACCTCGCTTACCAAATTTCCTCACTCAAGTCCTTTATTCGATCCAATCGATTCGTCAGAAGCGTGGACGCGGTGGCACACTTGGTGAAATCTGTAGTTTTATTAAAATTCAATTCGGAGCTACCGGCGATGTACGAAGTCGTGTTGAAACCGCCATTAACAAAGCAATAATTGATGGTTTCATCATCAAGAAAGACGGACAACATATGGCAGTTACACCAGTTGCACGAATGCAAAATGCTACTACGACTCGTGAAAAACAAGCAGTTATACGATTGATACAGAAGATATTTCTGTACAAACCAAACATGCGAAAACCCACAGGACGTTCAGGCAAACGCGAATCACCATTCAGAAATGTTTCAACTGCCACGTCACCAATTCCACGAAGAAAAACAGTATCCAAGTCAGCAGTTTGCGCAGTTCTAACAAAAATTGAGTCAGTATTGATGAAGCATCTTGCAACCCCTGATGATGATGATGATGATATACTGTGTCCTCCTCCATCTCCCCAAGCGAACCATGTCAACAACCTTTAAATAAATCTGATAACAAAGAGTCAAATATGAAGAGATCGGATATGAATATAATCACGTTCGTGAAGCCGAAAAACCCGGCCAAGCGAGCTTTGAATAACACAGCTGATGAAACTTGCTTAAGTTCAAAACGTGCCAGGTTCAGTTGTGAAAAGAAAAAGCATCTCTCAAACAACTCGAAAGATTCAAAAGATTCAAGAAATTCGAAAAATTCGAAAAGTTCACATAGTTCTTCCGAAAATGCGCATCGATGTAGAAAGTCTGATGCAAATTCAAGATTCGGAAAAGACTCAACAAGATAATTAAACGTACATCTCAGTTTATTTCAAAAATATATCTAAACGCGTATAACAAGTTGATAAACTTTGCAAATCAAACAAAATCATAGTTTCTGCACGTAGTTATTCAGTTTGCGAAGGTCGCCTGCATACACTTCGACTTCTTGCATTCCGTGCTCCTGATTCAAGAGATGCAGATGGAGTTTACCATCTCCGGTAACCACAGCCTACAAATAATCACATTTGACGCAATTAAATTAAAGTATTACAAATATATGTAAATGTCTACCATATAAGACGTTTCAGACTTGAGTGGTGATACTTTCAACATCTTTATCCTTTCCTTCAAATGCACCGTAATCTGCGGAAAGAGTTCGCTCACACTCAGATCCCAAATATTAATATTATCATCACGGTCAAGTGTGTAAAATATGCAAGGTCTGTTTCTCGACCACTGAATCATCATGATGGCGGCGTCAGAGACTTGATTACTGATAGTCATCAATGGTTTCTCAAACTGTTTTGTGTGTAGAATTACTTCGCCTGTTTTACACCCAGCGAGGAAATAATTTGAGTTGTGGGGGCATCCTTCCAGAACATTAACAACCGTAGAGAGACCTGATATAAAATTTGAAGTTTAATTATTTTGCTTGTATTGAAAATGTGTTATTTTATTACCAGTGTTATATCGTCTTGGATTAGTTCGAGTTCCGCTCACTAGTGAATGTAGAATGACACCAAAGTTGGTAGAAACGTAAAAGTGATTCGGATCACTTTGACTAAGGCACAAATCGGTGCATTGCAGATTAGTATCAGTTTGATGTTGCACTCCAAGTAGAATTGTGTTGTTTCTGACTAAAGATATTCGATTAAGACCCAAACTTTCCGTGGGGGAAACGATCAATTCCCAGATAACAACTTTTCCACTTTCATTAAGTGTTATAACCTACAAATCAATATTTGGTTATATTTTCAACACTGATCTTAAAAAACTTGAGAAATTACTTGAAAATCATTAGATTTCAACGGTTTGAAGCATAAGACTTTAACTACCATCTCCGTAGAACCAAAGTCTACATCTGTCAGGTAACTAGGAGGTCTAGAAGTATGGTTATTAACGTCTTCCAATAAGTCCCAAACAGCCAAGGACCTTTAAAAGAATAAATGTTAGTGAAAAGTTTCCCAAATTGTCGTGAAACAATTTACCCGTCTGTGAAACCACCAAAAATTAATTTATCATTGTCCAAACCAAATGTGACATCGCTTATTTCTCCATACGCAGTAAAATTATCCTCTGGGGTTGTGGGTTTTAATAAAGACCATACAAAACCTTGACTTCTCATGTCTTTTTGCTCATGCACCGTAATAATCTTTGGATTTTTATTAGAATTTGAGAAAGTCACTGATTTCGTTGGTCCTATCTCTTCTGTCGGCAATATTAAGTACCCTTGACTGAACGGGAACTTCCCCGAAGTCATCTCAGCCTTATTTCCGTATTGATTTTCTTTCAACAGTTCCGTAATCAATTTCTCTTGCGATTGAAGAAATCTTTGTAGATTATATTCATTATATTCAAGAATATGAGGTTCTTTTAATAGATTTACTTCTAGTGTATCACTACCCACTCCCAACAATTCTTCTTTGAACTGTAGAGGATTTTTTGATTTGGTAATTTTATCGATAGGAAACTGTGTCCATTTATTCACACAATTTATCACATCAGTTTGGATTTCTTCGTCTATTCTGTCATCACCAGTCTGTGAAGCAACTTGGGTACTATTCCTGTTACCGAAACTTTTTATAAACACATCGTAACTCTGCGCGGGGAGATCAAAGAGTGTGAAATTTTGTTGGTCTAAACGTATCATACTCATAAGTTCTTCACCGCGTTTGTTCATTTTCTGACGTGCTTTTATAATCTGACGTTGTTTTTAGCCTCGGCAAAATTAACAAACTGCAGGGATGATTTCTGTTCTTCAAAACCTTCATCAGATAATGAAGATAACACTGGTTCGTGTTCTTTAATGCGATCCAGGACTTGCTTCCGTTTAGGTTCGTTGGAATCATTAGGCATGTCAAAATTACCAGAATCCAATTTACGTTCTTCTTCAGCCGAATTGACTCGTCTGGGTGGTGATGGAGTTTCTTCTTTAGTAGGTTCAATCTCATCTTCATCAGATGAAGTTTCTTCTCCTTGCGTAGACACATCCAACGGATCAGAACTGGAAACATCCGAAGCATTTGACACAACAGACGCTTGTGATGATGAATTGTATTCTTCAAAATCCGAAGCGTACGAATCAAAATCATCTTCGTAGTTTTCAGTATCATCTGGCTCTTCAATAGTCTCTGTTACCACTTCGGTGTCTGTTTCCATCTGCGTGCTAATAGATTCCGCTATACTTGCCGTTTCAGTTTTGTTCTTTGCTATCTTCTTCAATTTATTAGCTTCGGGACCTGCTATGTTGGAACTAACAATACTAGGCCTTTTCAAAGTTGCCGTTTTTGGTCTTTCTACTTGACTACTGCTACTGGTATCAGGGGATTTTACATCACTTGATTTTTCCGGAGGTTTTTTAAGCTTTTCACGCATTTCCTTCTTTATCACAGACAAAGGCTTGGGTTTCTGTGTAACCGGCACAGGCATTACTTTAGACTTGACACTATTAGATCTGTCAGAAGAAGATTCCCTTGTTATTTTGTTTTTAGGTTTGGATGTTATTCCTTTGGATACAGCTGTTTTCGTAGAACTGGTCAATGATTGTTTAATTTTAGGAGACGCTGTGTTTAAGGCTTTGGTGTAAAGTGATTTATCGGGATAATATTGTGATTTAGATACCTGGAAACAAACACATAAATAAAATCAATAGTGATTAGAGTAAGTCATGAATTTATATTGATGGGATGAAAACATTAGACAATTATCAATCTAATTAGAGTGAGTTCAAGGTGGTTGACGTAGGTTTGACCTTACTGACAGAATGATTGGCGTTTTATTATTACCCTGCTACTTGTTGGACTATTAGACATGCGTTTCTTGACCGTTGCATTGGTATTTCCACTCGAGGTTGACGCTGTCGCCTTGAGCACACCATTACTTGGCGACTTCGATGAAGTTTTTGATGTTACCGTTTTTTTCTTCTCTTCTTTGTCATCATCTTTTCTTCGAACAAGCGGTTTACTAGTTTTTGTTTTAGCTGCGACATTCTACAATTTTACATAGTAATATATTATTTAAATAAAATTTAGACTAAACTTACCGATTTCTTCAAGTTCGTCGACATGGAATCGACCACCACCGGTTTATATTACTTCTTCTTGTTAAATATTCCAAGTAATGGTTTTAATTACGTTAGGTTATGATAATTTCTGTTTACACTGACTGTAGTCAACGATACAAACAATCATCACAATGCAATTGTTACTTTTCACAAGCATCACATTACGCTAGGATTGATTCGAAAGATTTGCACTAGAAAACGTGTCAAAAAGTGGACCTTACGTATCAAGTGGGTCAAAAAGTTTGATACAAACAAGCGTATGTGGGACGTGAGCAGGGGGTGGAATATCACAGTTGGGCGTAAGCAACGCGTCGACCCGCGACTGGCGGGTAGCTCAAACTGAAGTCCATGGTGGCGTCGACGACGTCGTGGGTCGCGTGACCGGCATTACGTTTGCATGAAATAATCGATAGTTGTTGATTCGTAACCCAACTGCGGGTGGAACGTAGTAGCACATAGTATTTACATTATCTTTTAATTAAATGGTGACATTAGAGGATCAATTACAACATTAAAAATGTAATAATTATAAAACATAAGCAAATATTCTGTAATTTATAAACACATTAATTAATTACATGTGAATAAGTTTTATTAACACAAACACATTAAAATCTATTGTCCTGCATTCATTGGAAATATCAGCGACAGGCACGAGTCATTAAACGTTGAGAATCAATAAAATACTATTTTATTTTTTATGAATCATTCATACATTTATTTGCATCTCACATTTATATTGTAATAGGATTCATATGGTTCTACAGCTCAGATTTGAGGTTATATTGTAATCACAGCCGATATAGCTTCAATTAAAACCTACAACAATAATAAAATAACTACGGATAATGCTAAAATAGATTTAAAATTTAAAATTTTCGTAGATTTCGAACAATGCATTGTTGCATCCAAAACATTATCATATTCCCTGATCATTTTGTCCGAATTTTTCGCATTCGCGACAGTTCTAAGACGCATTGTTGCATCGTGGAATAAAACATTCGATTTTCCATCGAATATATCAAACATTGTGAATGGTAATGTAATGCTTTTGTAATTTTTACCAAAGAGATTATCCAATTGTAAAAATACATCCGTAGCGTCTTTAATCCAGAGTGCAGTTTTATTTTTCAATGTCATTAGTTGACCAGGCGGCGCCCATGATAAATGGCACGGTTCTTTATGGCAGAAAACGCGAAAATTATTACGATTGATATTATAAGACATTTCGCGCGGATCTTTGAAGAATTTTTCATAGTTGTTTAGTGATAAAAATGCAACGTCACCAAGGCCTTGATTTAAACATCTAATTGCACCGTAATCACCAACTAATTCTTCTGTGTCTGCGGATTCTGAGTCTGGAGGTGTGATCATATTATTATGATGTCCAAGACCATGTGGTAAATGCGGCGCAGTTATAGAAGAGAAAAAGTCTACAAACGCGACCTCTACAGGACATTTGTTAAGAAGATGGCGACTATGTAACGCGTGCATGGCTGAATTCCATGCAATTCCATCATATGATGGGAAACATGCTTTGGCTCCTTGTAGATCTTCAAATTTGGTGTATCCAGAGGTGGTTTTTACTATTCCCACTGTGAGATATTTATCACTATCGCCGACTGTTTCATACAGGAGTGTTTTGAGGTTAAATTTCCTAAAAATCAAATTTTAGAGCATATTTTGAGGTTTAAATATTATTTTTTACCTTTTTGCTATATTAACATAGTCAGGTTCAACTAGGACTACATCCGCCGCTCCAACTGTGATTGCTTCCATGCAATGCGTAACATTATCCGCTTTAATACAGTCAAGATCCGGTTCAACACCATAGACAGCAGCGGCTTCCCTCATCCAACCACATTTTGCATTTTGTAGAATAGAAGTGGTACACATTCTAATTGTTCTTGGTGGATGACAACCCGTAAAACTATTCGCACTCAAAAAGCCTGGTGCTTCTAACATGTAACTATCAATGGGTTGAATAGGATCCAATGGTACTATATCCTGTTTAAAAGTTTGAATGAGGGTTAGAAGAGCTTGTTGCCATTCGTTGGCTTTGTTGTAGTCTAATGTTGATAAAAACTTTTTAATTTCAGAGGCTTTTTGTCTAAAAATAAAAAAATACAAATAATCACTGTAGAAATTAATTATTTAAAGAAATATTACTTTTGGGCACCAATAACAGGCCATGGTTTGACAACCCAGACACATGGGTTTCTCGATGTGGCATTTACCGGAATTTTAGTACCATCTCTACATAGGTAACTATAACCTTCCGGGGAGATACTGATTGAACCTGGGGTTATCCCAAAATGTATTTTCACGTCATCTAAACGTGCCCAACTGATGTCACCCACACCATCAGTAAGACAAAAGAGTGGACCACGACGGCCCCAATACTTATCATTGGTATTGCATCTTGCAGGATGGTCACACAATTCACATAGATTCGGATAACTTTTTTCTAAACATAAATATAGTCAAATTAATATAAATATCCAAATATTTATGTAGATATGAAAACTTACTGAGTTGTGAATCCAAATTTGGATCATTTACCCAAGGTCCAGCTTTACAAGCAGTTTTAAAGAATGTTGACGATGATTTTATTCTGTTTTCTGTGAGGGTAAGTGATTGGTCACAACTTTGTGGTATGGTAGTAGACTCTAAAAAGTTAGTAATGATATTCGTCCAATCCGTTTCATATCCATATCCTGGATGGCAGAAATTTTTATCTTTCAAATCATGCACGGAATTAATTCCAGACTCATCGCTAACTATAGCTACCACTTCATATTCATAATTCTCTTTTGAAAACTTCATTTGATTTGTTAGTAAAACATCCACTTCTGAATTGGTTGCGGAAACTAAATCTTCAGGTGTAAACACGGAAAAATCAACTTTTCCTTTGGATATTCGTCGTAAACAATCCATTCTAAAATCATAATGATTGGCTTAACAATGCATGAATCCGGTTTTTGGAAATTTTGATCAGTTTTTTTTTGTTTGGCGTTTATTCTATTCGTTCACTTACCTGTCGATGCCGACAACACATTCAACTTTACTTTCCGGTCTGTCCAGCGTTGGGCAATGCTTCGCTGCTTTTTTGAATCCGCCGCGGCCATCGACGACGCAGACCCGCACTGTAGACATTTAAATATTTACTAATTAATGAAATATAATGTAAACAAGAAAAACGAAAAGTCGTATAACAAGGTAAACAAGTTTGGTTTTCATTATTTTAAGTATTAATCATTCTTCATTGCTTAATATTTACACCATAGTCTTCATAATATAAACGAATATGCCTAATTACTAGGAACTTTCCAAAAATATTTCTTACATTGTAATTTTCAAAGAATTTACAATGTACTATTAACTTATTTGTTTATAACATGATGTTACAAGTTGGATCAGTGTCTAATAAGATGGTAAACATCACATTTTTCGGTTGGTTGATCTCGGAATTTAATTGTTGATACAAGGCAGATACATTTCGCGTGTATCGGACGCCCGGAGGTGTAACCTTCAGATGGATAATATTACATTTCGATTATGAGCGCGCATCTGCGTCCGCCATGTGACGCAAAGTTGTTTATCTTTTAATTTGAAATACCAGACATCACGAAATGATATTTTGTTAGAAACAGGATCACAAAATTGAATTATTGATGAAATTTTAATTTAATTAGAAATACAACCTATATTACATGAATAAAACTAAATTTATATACAGGAAAGAAAAAAGTGTTGATTTTAACACTTATATGCAATATAATTCAATTGTATTAATATATTTGGTATCTTAGAGTCGATCATGTGATCAAAAGTGAATCTTGCGTATAAATTTGTTGAATAAGATTTTTTAGCTTTCAAAATTTAATATTTTATTTTAGTTTTTGTTTTAGCCATAAATGGAGAGTTGAGAGTTGAGGTTAGTGAAGATAGAGGTTAGTAAAAATTAGTAAAAATTAGAAGACAGTTGTTATTTCACGACAGCTTCAAACAACTTTAATAAATTAATTTTTATAAATAAAACTTACATTTATTTCCATAACTTGATCCAATAACGACCAAAATAAAGAACACAAACATGCAATAATAAATTTTTAACTTCATTGTTCAATTTATTATTTATCAATTTATCAAATTAAGAAAACAATTTAAAAAAAGTGATTAAAACTTCACATAACTTGATTAATCCTTAATTTAACTTCGTATTTTTATTATTCCTTTAATTAAACTTAAATTTAACCTTGTTGGTCTCTTCGCGAACGCGCACTCTTCGCGTGACACCGTCCGACTGTAGAGCGCAAATTCAATCCAACATGTTCCTAGACCGCTGCAGCCACACTTGTAAATTAATCGCCGTGTGCGTTTTTGTTCGAAACTCATGAAGGACGTTTGACCCGCCAGCAGACAAGCCGGTCGTCTCGTTAATAAAACGATTAAGCTGTTTAATACACTTGCATATCAAAACACGTACTAATTTTAATATGTTGATTACCTGTGACTAATGGTAAATACGTATGGATAAACCAGAATACGTGCCATCCTTCATACTCGTAGTGTTGTTGATGATCGCGAGCAAGAAAGACTTGGAATTTCCAAAATATTCCGATTGGATTTTGTGTTTTGGGAAAGACCACTTAAGTGGTTTTGCAATTTCTCGAAAACTCAGACTTGACGGTCACACAAATTGACTTTCAACACCTGCCAACATGTATTACCTATAGTATATTCATGCATGTATTAATTAATAAGAAAAAATACATAGTTAAGTCATTGCCAATAAAATTATGCGCGGATTTCCTTAACAATCATGTATTGACGTGCACGAAGGAAGATCAATTAAAATGTTATAAATTTTATATCTAATCGTTATTATATGGTAATGACAGCATACATCAACAACTTACATAAATCATGTATGTATAAGATTATTTACGACTTTTTAGAATTCATTAAAAAAATTTCATCCAAAGCAACATAAATCTACAATCGCTGAATTACATCGAGTAATAATTCGATACTACACCAACAGATGTCGCAATCTATCCTAAACCACACATAATTTGATATTTTTTACACATTTTCTAAAATAAACTTCGATCAGTTACACAGAATGTCCCGATTTAATTAGACGCATCATGCATCATGTTCAAGGATGATCTAATCAAAACAATCTTTGTTGTATATTTATATTTAGCTAAAAATAAACGCTTGACTGCGAGCGCCGCATGAAAGTGTGTTATGAGAGCGAGAATAAATTTTTTAGACGGGTGAGTTCAACACACCATGCACTAACGCAGATTTTGAATTCTAGTCTATAGCTCACCAGCTTAAGTTAAGGCATATCACGCCATAAGTACGAGTGCGGCAGCCAACGGTGTCAGTGCACTACCGCAACACGATGATTGAAACAATATCAAAAACAAGTAAAGCCAGTTTTGCACTCAAACTCAACGATACGGAACACACAGCTGTGCACAAGTGATATACTATGTACATAAAATTACCTTAACTTTATGTGTGATTAACAAATATAGCCCATAATCAGTAATGTGAATAAAGTGCTTCAATGTTAAATATAACTAGAAATATCATAGTAAACACCGAGTGCCAAATGGAACGCAATTTGGTAATGACATTGGGACCTCCCACTCACCAAAAACTTTTATCGAAATTTCTCGGGTCCGTTTTACCTGAACTTGGATATTTTCTTACCTGACATTGAATTTTTCGTCAAATATAAAGGAACTTCAAGCTAAAACTCAAAAATTGAGTTGAAACTTGACCTTTTGATAGAAATTCTATTAGTGCAGAGTGCGTTTGTTCTTCAATGTGATAACAAGTATTAACTGATAAGTGATAAATGATAAGTGCCAGCTGATACAATATACTTTATCAAAGTTGCTAGTGCATATAATAGACACACAGCAACACAATGTTGCAAGTTCAGCCAGTTGTAATATTTTATTAGTCTGCGACGCGTTTTGACAGCTTTTTCGAAAGTTAATTACATACATTTAATAATATTTTTCGAAACAGTTCAAGTTCAATGTGTTACTTTGTAACAATTTGAACAAAAGTGAATTAAATACTTAATGCGTGGTGTGGATAACAATTAGAGCTGATATCAGCAGACTCAACACATGTTGTAAAATTTAATCTCTTTAATATGAACAAGTCATCAACACGAGGACCACATGGAAAATTTCAACTTGGCGGTTTTGAATTTATTCGATATTTAGTGTAAACGCAGTGAAGTGTAGTTTGTGTGAAGTTTAATTGCGGAAGCATTGAGCTGGATGCAATAACATTGGTGACTCATCTACACTATTCTAAATTGATGTTGTAATAGTGTATCAACATAAAAATAGACTGTAATATCTTGCGAGTTACTTAATAATAAAGTGAGCAAGCGAAACGTGCACAATGGGACGAATTAAAGTCAATGTTGATTTGCTGCCCATCAAAAGTCATTATTTTTTCTTTATGGCTGGTGAGTATTTCAACATTTCGAGATTATGTAGTTATTCATAGGTTTATTTACGAGTAGAACATTGCACTTGCTCATTAAAATTACTCGCCATTGTGGAGATAAACGTTGTTTGGACAGAAGTAACGGAAATATTTCTTTGATAACATCAGAATAAATAGGCACTAAATATGACCTTGAACTTTTCGGAAATTTATCAAAATTGCCAAAGTTTCACTTTCAAACGAATATATTTATATTTCTGCAATATTCACGTTTAATTAATTATTTTTTTTTTAATTTTTGTACATTAACTTCTTTTTCTATAGTTATTTATTATATTTAGGTGTTATTCTTTCAACGTAATCACTGATTTCACTTATTTCCATTTTACTTCGGCTCAGACATGTTACATACGCAGAATTCGCAAATTAAAAAAAACACTCACAACACGCTAAAACCAAAAATTCAAATAAGTCTTTTTATTATTCATTAATGTCCATCTTTTAACGCATAAAATTAACTTTTATGTTCAACTTTAAGCACTTTAAGTAATATAAAAATCACTTTTTTTATCAACCATTTTAAGTAAAGTAGTTGCCTAACCTTAAAATACTTCTAAAATGTCCACACCCAAACAGATATTTGTTTTAATTTTAAATAGCAATGGGTCCGATTTTACCCCAAATGTCAGTCTACGGAAAAGAAATGGGCATCAGTTCCGTAGTAATGGGTACAGTCACCGGTATACTCCCCATATTATTTCTCATAGCCAAACCAATATTTGGTATCATCGTCGACGTGTATCGCAAGCATCGAAAAACAATTTTTCTTTGTCTCATCGCCACAATGGCGGTTTCCTTCGCCAGCATCTACGTACTACCACCCCGCGCATTGGAAACCTACACAATCACCAAGGAGTGTCAACAGATGGACACATGTAATGTCACAGTCAGTAAAATATTCTTTCAGCAAACTATTTTTGTCATTTACATTACAAAATTGCAATTATATAAAGATGTTTTTATGTTTTTATTAGGAACTACATGTAACAAATGCAAACGAATGTAATAATTCCACCATTGAAATGATCTGCACATGCGCAATAGATCCAGTCAACCATATTGAACTTCCGTTAACTCGTCACATCGCAGATAACTTGATTTTGAATCAAACCGAAAATAAATATTGCACTTCTGCTAATTTAACTGCAGTCTGTGGTGGTTATTCAAAAGAATGTCAATGGAAATGTGTTGAAAATACGGAAAGCAACAGTAGTTGCTTGTATAAAACATGGCAGTTTTGGTACTTTATTATTTTGATGTCCATTGGAATGATTGGCTTCAATGTGACGAATTCAATAAGCGATGCGATTTGTTTTGATGTGATTGGTGATGAATATGACTACGGAAAACAACGCGTTTGGGGAACTATTGGTTTTGGCACAACAGCATTCATTTCCGGATATTTCGTCAACTGGGCATCGAATGGTACAACAACGTATGGACCTGCGTTTTTGATTATGTTGTTATTTACTGGTCTGGATTTATTTGCGTGTTCAAAACTAAAGGTAAAAAATCTAGACGCCCCCGGGTGGGATCGAACCACCGACCTTTCGGTTAACAGCCGAACGCGCTGCCGATTGCGCCACGGAGGCGGGCGAGTGCCACATTTTAAACACAACATGAAATAATTTTTTTTTTATTTTAGTTGCCTGTGATGGAAACCCCTGAAAATATCTTCAAAGACCTCTGCAATCTACTCCAAAACAGACATACTGTAGTCTTCGTGACATTTTCTGTATTTGCTGGAGTTTTAGACGGTTTTATAGTATATTTCCTCTTTTGGTACTTGGAAGATTTGGCGGTTACAAGCAACACCTCACAAATAAAACTAATCGAAGGACTTATTGTTGCTGCTGAGACTTTAGGAGGAGAAGTTATTTTCTTCTCGATCTCCGGGAAGATTCTAGAACGTTTTGGACACGGGCATTGTTTCAGTATGTGTTTTATTAATTATGCTCTAAGACTGGGACTGATTTCTGTGGTGCCATCACCATGGTGGGCTATTCCTGTGGAGTTTCTTCTTCAGGGACCTACATACGCATTGACTTACACTACTATCGTTGCGTATGCTAATGCAATAGCTCCTCCTGGAGCATCAGCCACTATGCAAGGCATTGCTGCAGGAATGGACGACGGTTTTGGTAATTATACAAAAATTTTATAGGTTATGTTTATACACCGTGGTAATTTTTAGGTTATGCTATTGGTAGCCTTCTGGGAGGTTTCCTCTATCAGACTGTGGGTGGTCAGCAAGCATTTCAAGTATTTTGCGTTCTTGGACTTGTCTGCAGTGTGACACATCTATTTTTATACAAATATTTCCTCCAGCATCACATATCTCCGGATAGACAACAAAATGGCGAATATAAATCACCTGGAGAAGCAGCGCTTGCGCTTGATGACACATCAACAGCTAGTATACACTGTATATGAACTTTGACAAAGACATAAATTATACTTTAGTTTTTATTTCCACAATTTGATCCATAACAACTGTTTTTGGTGTTGTTTGGTGTATTGTGTGTCGTATGCAATCGAAAAGTGTGCGCGGTGGTGATTAATGAGTGATGTCACGGGCTCGCACATGGCGGAATTCACACCATAAACGCGTAATTTGGTAATTTCTCGAAAAATCAACACAAACACGAACGCATTGTGAAGTAATATGCGAGCCATGTACTTCTTTCGCAATATAAATGCCCGTTTTATGATGTTTTATGACTCGCGAGACAAATGTTTTTGCGCTATTACGAAAAGTTGAAAGTTGGAAATTGCGCGCCGATCAAGGTAATAAACGGCGACGATGTTCGGCATTAAATTACACCCCTTCGAGCGACACGCGAGACGATCTTATTTATTTTGGGCGACGTATGCATTCTGCATAATATTTTATATCAAGTAATATGAAATGATCCACTAGGTGTCAGTGGTTTATCTTGTTATTTTAAATTTAGTATTTATTAGGATATAATACAACAACACAGGTAAGAAAATTGACTTGTCAGTAAAAAATTATTTAGAAATATTGAATTATTTTATGATCTTCTCGATTTATCTCGACTACATCTAGGTACGAACTAACTTTATTTAATAAACACTAGATGGCATAAAGTATACTTCTATGGAGGAAAGGTACAATAATTGAAGATATATACCAGGTAAAAACGATAACCCGTTACTCTGGTTTCCCTTCAAAGCGAATAAATCTTTCGCCTTTTACTAAAGATTTCCGTGGAGGGGAACAACTCAAATGAGTCTGTAAGAATTTTTTTACAGGCCCGGCTTTTGGCTGGGCCATCTGAACATATCAAAATAAAATTTCTGTTCTTTAGCATTTTCTCCAGTTTTTTTGTCTCTTTCATTTACTTAGTTGTTATTTACTTATAGTCCTTTTTTATAGTTTCACAACAGAAAATTTAAAAACTGCTACAGCAAGACACTCGACACTCCTTTTTTTTATTTCTTCAAGGGCTATTAGTTGGCAACCGAATACTTCAGATTGAAGATGAAGATATTTTAACAATAAACAAAAGAATTTCTGATGTCTGGCAACATATTTTAATCAAAACAATATTCCTGCAACAGAAAAAGAATTCCTCCACATGTCTAATGTTACATGTTTTTCTTTAGCAGTATTATTATAGTTATTATTATGGTATATAACAAAAGCAAAACAATTATTTAACGACCAAGCACGCGCTCGCAACCGACGATAACCGATGATAGATAATTCGTGTAATTCGTTCGAATTTCCCGCATGAATAATTTAGCGCCCGCCGCCTGACCATTAACCACCGCATTCGGCTAATGTTCAACTGGCAGCGGTCACCTCATAATAATCGAACGGAATGACCGCACCGATTGCGCTAACTATTGTTTAGCCGTGTGTTGTATACGCGGTTGCACGTTGCTCGTGTCGCGTTGTTGATAACTTTGCCTGATATCAATAATCCACCGCTGCGCGGCCATGCATTTGCCCTCATCTATAATTCACGAGGACCAGCTCCGAAACGTTCGTTACCGCTGTTACCAACTTACGTATATTTTCACAATTACGCTTACCGGTCACCACGCGGCGGACAAATCGAACATCGCAAATGTGACCCATGATTATATCTTGACAGGAAAAGTGGACATTATTTTTATCTGTACTTATATTTTATACTTGCATACTAGAAAAATTATTTTGCATTGAAGTACAAAAATGTTTAAAAGGCAAGAAATTTTTCCTATTTTTTTATATTATACTAGCTTTTGCCCGCGACTTCGTCCCGGTAGTGTTTAATAAAAATGTAATTCGTTTTTACTCACTTGTTCTAGATACCTATAGTATGTGTCAATTCTATCAATAAGATTCGCAATTTTATTTTAAACAAATTAATTATATAAAGAATTGTTTATAATGTACTTCAGCGCGCCATCTCGGATTCAACTATTTAACTATAACTATGATTAAATCTCAATGCCAACTTTTATCCTATAGAAAAGAGCTGTCTTTAGGGTTTTCCCGGCAATTATTCAAAATTTTCTTGCCGTAAAAACCATCCTTGGACTTTTACGAACATTTTAAAAATAGAATTGGCCAAATTGGTGTAGGCGTTGTTGAGTTATGCGCTTACCAACAGTTTTTGTGATTCATTTTTATATTATAGATGATAAAATTTAAGAAAACACATTATTTAAAGAGTGGAATCCTATAGTGTTGTTTTTAAATGTTATTGATGAATATTTTGGCTAAATAATTTTAAAAAATGGCATTTTTATGCTTTTTTTTTCGAAATATTTATAAAATGACAAACGACAGCTATGTAGTTATTCACAATGTATAACTAAAAATGAAACATTGATAGATGCCATTTATTATACCCATATTTACCGCAGTTATATTATTTGCGCTCGCTGTTTGCCGTCGTTTTGTCCTTCGGCGACTGTCGTGCCAAATTTATAATTAATGCCGTCCGTGCGGTGTCATCCTTAGCGGGCCGCGATTGTATCACCAGCGTTTGTTATTATACGACATTATAAAGCTGTTGGATCATAATTCACGTATGGCGTGTGCCTTTGTGCCATCCCTTGCGAGCGCGCTCCACCTGTGCGCCGACGAAAGTGTTTATTAGTGTTGAGCCTCGGAGCGACTGTAATTAGGTGTCGTCCGGGGGCGGTGTCGCGCGTCCGATCGTGGGATTTCGCACGTGGCAGGATGCAGCCGGTGAAAAAAATCAACCTCGCATCAAACGCACACGCGCGGGCGGGTAACAAGGGATGATCATTCGTCACGTGCGCGCAATCAACTTGCACACCCCACATGCGTAATAGTTTTATGGTTAAGGGTTAAACGAAGGGCAAGCGGTAGTGATAGATATTTATTTGTATAGACGGATATAAGCAAATATTGAAATTTGGGAAAAATTATATTTTGATTTGTTTAGAATCTAAGAATCTTAGAATTTAGAATCTAAACTTTAGATGATCCAATGATGAAAATTTGTCATTTTTTAGGTTAGAATTGAATTATGGCACTTTATAACTAAAATATCTTCTCTAATATAAAATAATTTGCAAAATCAGTTCTTAAGCGCATAACTTAACACCGCCTAGAACAATTTAACCAATTCTTTTTTTTTTTAAATGTTCGTTAAAGTCCAAGGACCGTTTTTACGGCAAAAAAAAATATGAACAATTGCCGGGAAAACCCTAAAGACAGCCATTTTCTATAAGATAAAATTTGGCATTGAGATTCAATTATAGTTATAGTTAAATAGTTGAATCCGAGATGGCGCGCTGAAGTGCATTACTAGCAATTCTTTATATAATCAATTTCTCTAAAATTAAATTGCGAATCATATTGATAGAATTGACACATACTATGTCTAGAACAGGAGAGAAAAAACGAAATACATTTTTATTAAACACTACCGGAACGAAGTCTAAGGCAAAAACTAGTTATTCTATTAATTTTGTTTTTTTCGTTTTTTAGTCGAAATTTATACGTCCAAACGCCCCAAAGTAGAATTACATGTGATCATCACCTGAAAGAAACTTAATGCGACATTGTGCGCTTGCATGAAGTCGTAAGCCGTGAGAGAATATCGAACAGTTTCAGGTGTCCAGGTCTCAAAGGTGGAAAATACGTAGGTATTCTCTCTGCTGGCACACGCATAAAGCTTGAAAGTCGTAATAAACACGCCTGCAACATTATTACAATACTGTCGCACCCCCGCTAGACTTTGAAATCACAAAAATTCAAAAAGTTAATTTTAATTATTCCAAACATTAGCTTGTAGTTAATGTAATTAATACATTTTTAATTGATCATGCACTTTAATGCATGTGTTTGTTTAAGAATTCCGTAGGAGGAGATTCCCAACCCTTGCTTACCAATGGCGGCGGTTACGTCGCATTTACGCGGCGCAGCCGGTGACATAAGTTGAATCGTTTCGCGCTTTGACTTCTCTGGCCTGACCAATGGATACGATGACTGTACGCGCGCGAGGGTGGAGTTTCGGCGCCGATGGCGTCGCGACGCCCGCCGCCACCACCATTTCGAAGTATAATAATGCGGCGGATATGTTTTGTATGTGTCGCGTGCGTTTCGCGTCGATGTTATTAAATGTTGGCACGTAATGTTACAGTTTACACCCACGCAACCACCACCACCACCACTGGCTGGGGTTGTAATGTTTTTGGTTTCATTTGATTGCAGAGTGGTTTTCAGTATCAATGCGACTGTAATTCATGCAACTTCTTCCGGTCTCTGAATAGATATTTTCCTTGATTATTCTATTATAAATTTATTTTGTGTTCAAAAGTTTGTGTTTTCTATGTATATGGATCACTTGAATAATAACACGCCGCACGCGTTAGGTGTAGGAGGCGCGAGTGGGTTTCATCACTATGTGGATACAACAGGTGGAGTGCTGCCGGTTTCGGCGTTTTCGGCGTTTCATTTGCTAAGGAATTACAACTACTTGATGGGTCCACATACAGGTAACTAATTATTATAATACGGAGAATTATATTTTGGTTTGTTTAGATGGCCCAGCTAAAAGCCGGGCCTTTAAAAAATTCTTGCAGACTCATTTGAGTTGTTCCCCTCCACGGAAATCTTTAGTAAAAGGCGAAAGATTTATTCGCTTTGAAGGGAAACCAGAGTGAAGGGTTATCGTTTTTACCTGGTATAAATCTTCAATTATTGTACCTTTTCTCAATAGAAGTATACTTTATGCCATCTAGTGTTTATAAAGTAAAGTCCGTTGATACTTAAATGTAGTAGAGATGAGCAGTTTTTTGATTGTACACGTTTAATTATTGTGTGGTAATGATAAGAGATTTTGTTTCACTGTCATCTGCATAATTTCATTAATCTACGAAAAAAAAATTAGGATTTTTATTAATAAAATCACTAGAATTGCAAACATAATAATAATTTCATAAACACAATTATTCTTGAATAATATTTATTAACTATAAATATAACTGCTTTTATTTTACTTGAAACCAGAAAAAAATTGCTAAATTACATTTTCACTATCTCTGGCAATCAAATTGGTTCCCTCTGGGTTTCAGTTAACTGCAAAAGTCTACATTTTTAAACAAACTATAAATTTATTCACTTTAAAAGAAAACCAGAATAATGAATTACCACTTTTACCTGTGTGAAATACCTGTATGCATCGAATTCATACTGAAGAAATTGCATACATGTCATCTATCATTTATCAAAGAAAGTCATTATATATTAAAGAATTGAATAAGTAAGTTACTTACACAATGATTACAGGTATATTCGCACAAATACTATACCAAAGAAGAAAGAGAATCAAAGAATCAATTTTACTAATTCAATGCAATATCATAACATTTGCACATTGAGCGACTGTATTCTAAATAATTCGCATTTTGCAGCATCGATTTGCTAATCGTTTGCCTATTAAATACAATGTGAATGTAAATTATTGCAATTAAAACATGCCTACCCGAAAAATGCGCGATTTTTATGCATAAATTCCTCTATAACAGCGAAATTATAAAAATAGCGAAAAAACTGATTTTTAGAAGCAATTTAAATTTGTTCAACATGAAAAACCACAAATTAAATAGAATCACCTCAAATTGTAACCCTGCAAATGAAACAACACGCAATATTTTTCATACTTGTATGACTGACGCGTTCGTGTTGCGTTTTGCGGTATCGTAGAATAATTGAATATGAAAATTAAATGATAAACACACAACCTAAAAATATATACTACCAAATTCTTCATTTTGTTTTAGCGCCTTAACCACAAGACATTTGAACGTTCATATTCAATTTGCTTTTATTACAGACATATCAAAGTCATCTAGTTTGAGCGAGCTGCACAGTCGGTTACAACCCGAACACGCATTGCATTCACCGAGCAAGCCGCCCGACTGCGGCAAACCGCTCCCGCCGCTTACCCTCGACGTCGGCAAGTCCTTCCCGACGCTGTCGCACCACCAACCGAATCTATTAGCCGCACACGGATTGTTCAACAATATTCACTATCACGCACATCATGGTGTTCTGCAACCTGGCAGTCCTAGCACGGGATTATTGTCTCCAGATGGTTATATGTCTTTGAAAAGGCATAGAGGTGAAAAGAAACCTATTCCTGAAGATCAAAAGGATGAAAAGTATTTTGAACGACGTAAGAGGAATAATCATGCGGCGAAGAAGTCGAGGGATGCGAGGAAAATACGTGAAGATCAAGTAAGAATAAAGAGATTTGTTGGAATTTATGATATGAACTAAATTAAGAAAATTCGAAAAGTTCAAAAAAATTAAAATTATTATCTAGACAATTTTACAATCTATAATGTAGACATGAATCGCAAAATCTATTGGTAAGCGCTTAACTCAACAATATAATGGCTAATTCTTTCTTTAAAATGTTCCTTTAAGTCCAAGGATGGTTTTTACGGCGAGAAAATTTTGAATAATTGCCGGGAAAACTCTAAAGACAGCCTTTTTCAATAAAATAAAAGTTGGCATTAAGATTCAATCAAAGTTATAGTTAAATTGTTGAATCCGGGATAGCGCGCTGAAGTACATTATTAACAATTCTTTATATAATTAATTTCTTCAAAATAAAATTGAGAATCTTATTGATAGAATTCACACATAGTATGTCTAGAACAAACACTACCGGGACAAAGTCGCGGGCAAGCCGAGTTTATAATAATTCTGTTTATTGTTTAATCAAGTATTTTGCCAATTACGCTATGAACATTAAAAATTAACTTTTTTTTTGTTTTAGGTGGCTTTGAAAGCAACAATTCTGGAACACGAAAACGCCATTCTTAAAACACAAGTGCTCACACTACGAGAAGAAGCTTCGTCGTTGCGACAAATGCTACTTCAGAAGAAAACCATGGATTTGAATTCGTGATATGTACACTCATTCTTTAAAATATTGTTAAATTAATATTATGCATTACTTGTGGTATTTTTCTGTAAGATACATTTTTGTTATCAATCGTAACTTTATAGAACTATGCACAAAAAAATTTGTTTCCGAAAATGAAATCAATAAGATGGTACTAATAATAAATATCTAGATGAAGTTAGATAGCATAATAGACCATATTGTGTACTTCTTCATTTGATAATAACTGATACTGGTGCAGTTAATAACAATTAGTTTAACATGACATCACATTCATCGCATTTAGTGATGAGGAGATACGAAGTTCTAAGCTCCTTCAAAATAGAAGGAGAGAAGGACCCTAGAAACTTGCAAAAGTTAAGATTCATCAGTCAAGCACCCTGGAATACTTGTGCCTAACCCGTAAAATGTGGTGGGAGAAAACTCTGGTCGCGTGTGAGGCCTTAAATCCTATACATCGTAACACCAGCTGTTTGTTTTGCCCCACATGCTATTTACGTCAAAATCCCAAGTATTTTCTGGTTAAAACCGAGGATATTTAAAATGTATTCCTCTTTCTGTAAATTCAATGGAAACAGTATTAAAAATTTACAGTTTAAAATTTAAACTTATGCAAGAATATGAATCTTTTTTCGGCATTACAAAGTCCCACTCATTTTAAGTTCCATTTCATTTACTTTGTGAAATTTTTGGCATTATTTTGTGCATTTTAGTTTACTAGCCAGTTTTCTTTTGATTGAATGTGTAATGTAGTGAAACAAGAACAATACAGTTCGTTATCAACAACAAATGCAATGTTTATTATGTACATTATATGTTGCAAATTTTATGGGAGATTTAAGAGGGTATTCTACTCTAGAGGTTTCAAAAAATCGATTTTTTTTTCTTTTGATATTTTGAAAGTTTAACTATTCAAGAATACGTGTACAACAGGATTTTTCAAAATTCAAATTATTTTCCGAGATATAGCCGTTTTGGTGACGCGGCATCCATACTGGTTCGCATTGACGCGAAACTTTAAACGTGTTTTTCTCGAAACTGTATTTTTCGAGACGGTACCCACGATTCCTCAACTTCTACTGAACCGATTTACTTGAATTTTTTACAGAGTCTTCTTTATAGACTTTTCTTTAAAATGAACTACGCTTATCACCAAATTCCGATTTTAAATATTCCAAAAAAAATCTAGAATATCAAAAAATAAGGGTAAAAAAATCACTATTTTTTCAAACAGTCGCCATTTTGTGAAAAACTTTTTTTTTCACTTGTCCGTAGTTCATATGATTGCGACATTATTCTAGATTAATAATTAATTATTCTAGATTAATTCAGATCACTTGGAGGGCTAAAATCATGGGTACGGTCACGTGCCAATTTTTTGGGACCTCCCACTTCATCACCTGCTGGAATTTAAAATTTTGAACTTTTTTCAGTTTTTATTTTTTTTTGTATTCTCAAAACATTAATAAATAAGTGCTAAAAAAATGGATAGTAAAAATATTAATTGATTTTTTTTACGGCCTTTCAAAAATCACATGAAATTCATGCCTCTAGAGTAGAATACCCCCTTAAAACAAATGACTACAGTAACAGCACATGTACACTTGGTTGCCTACCATGATTAGACAATTTTAAAATAAAAGGAAACGCGTAAACTTACTAGAAGAGTAACGAAATCTTTTCTTGTCATTTTATTTACCAATAATTGATAATAATAAAACTGCTCAATATTTATTTACAAAAGTCACTTATTATAAATACTTATGCTTATACTTAAGAGGTAATACAAGTAAAAATTGTGAGGTAAATTTTTCAATGATATTGAAACAGTAATGCCTTAATACCTGCTGTGTATGCCAATAATCCTGATTACTATTGAGGTTGTGTGGAGTGTGAGTGTAAAGATATCATTAACAAATAGAAATATTCTCAAGTCATCTGCTCCTAGTGGAGCAAAGTGCTGCTGCCTGTTGTCAAAGTAAACATTTTCAACAACAAGTCATCCTGTGATGCCCATTTGATTCAGCAAAATACAAAATTGAGGTAAAATATCCTGCTTTGAGTGTCAACCCGTATTCTCAAGCAAAACTGAGCCCATCAAGCAACAAAGTCAAGTGGTCTATTGAAACCGCCCTTGCGGTTCATGTACTGCCGGTATTTGCGCTTGAGGATGACGTGCACGTTGCCCACATCGTTGCCATCCACCTTTTTACCTTTGGTGGTGTCGAACGTGCAGAAACCCATCATTTTCATCATCTCTTGCTCATCTGGTGACTTGCCCTGTAGTTCCACTTCCGAGACTTCGGGCCGTTCGGCGACACGATGGGAGCTGCGCGCGGCTGGCGAGCGAGATCTTGAACGGGAATACCTTCTATCATCGCGTGAATGTCGTCGGCGATCCCTATCGCTGCGATCGGTTCGATCGCGCGACCTTTTTCTTCGGAAGCGCTGCTCGCGCGATCTGGATCGATCCCTGTCTCGGTCGCGCACGTCCCGATCTCGTTCTCTGTCTCGCTCCCGTCTTCGCGGCGACCTCGACCTGCTCCTTCTTCCCATTATCCTACAAACAGGTTGGATTTGTTTGAGGTAATTTTTCTGTTTTTTCGAAAAATCGGAAAAAATATACGCACCTTAAAATGTAACAATCGGTTGACGTATGTCAGGAAACCATTTTTAAAACCACGTTGTCAGATTTCTTCGTAATTTTTCTACCACGCATGAATTTTTTTAGTGTCATTTTAAAATTTTATTTAAAAAATACTTTTTTTGAACACACTTTTCGTATTTGATATTTTTTAATTACATTTTTTTTAAATTTTTAATTTTAGGTCATTATAATATTTACAATGGCCACTCGCATTTATCACGCTTACTTACACATACATTACATAACCTTTAATTGAATTTATTTGTTTGTTGTATTATTAAATTACTCTAAGGTAAGTTATATGTGTGCTATTATTCTTAAACTTATAAGATATAATTTTTGGAATGAATAATCATTTTTAATTCACTTCTTTTTTTGTTAGACTTGGCAACATCGATAAAAATACTAGTTTACTGTGTCTGCCACCTACGGCGCTATCCGTCTGCAATGCGTTGGTGTGCGCGTGCGCCATAAACGCTCATACAGCACGAGCCCATACGAGCGAAAATTGTCTGCAGGGCGGTTTTACCGATCTTTGCCGATCGGTGTGCGCGCGCACGCCGCCACTGATATGCCCGACGTGTAGTGCAGATGCAGATGTGGAAGAGGAAGAAGCCGCTGCGGGCGTAGTAGGTACAGAGTGTGCGGAGACTTGAAGTGAACGCGGTGATCTGTGTGCGTAGAGTGCGCCGGCCGTGCCCAGTTAAACGTACGTGGAGTGACCAGCCTGCAACGAGAGCGCAGCGAGTGCCGAGTGCATTATTGGATTTACCGACGAGGAGCGCCAGCAGACAGCGGCACACCGCAGGTAAGCCTGAATTCATGCATCACACTTTGCTTCGCGCCGCTGAAAGACCGCCATTTCGTGCACCGCGCGCGCCGGCAGCAACCGCCGCAGTCCATAAACGCCGATCCCGTCGATCCACACATCACATCGATGGGGCGTGTGCCGCGATCGCACCGCCGAGTATTTTTATATACGCGACGTAATCGCCGAACGCGACGCGAAACACCGGGGTGCGAGTGGGTGCATTCGCGTCAGACACGCGCCTTGATCCACCGAAACCCAAAATTTTATCTGACTTATACAGGAAACAAAAGTAATTCTCATCCAAGTATCGGACACCAGTGCGCCATTATCATCTTTGTGGCGGCGAAGGGTTCACGCGCGCGGTGTGCGTACGCGTATACAGGGTGTGTCACTCACTGGTAATTAAAATTGAACGTCGAGCGCTTATCATCAATCAAATAATTGCGGTACGTGCGGTTTGCGCCTCGCGAGCACATCCGCACAATCAACAATACAGTACTGCCAAATGAATAAAACAAATGCCAACCTTTTGACCTGGCAAACAAACCATTGTTACGCTTTTGTATTGTTGAACACAACCAGGTTCACAGAAGTAGTCAAATGACAAGAAAACTCTTAATTATGAATCAAAATCATACTAATTTTAAGAGATTTATGCATGTAGCGTTCAATTTCAAATCCAGGGAAAATTTGTTACATGTTATGTCAATTTCTATCGTTGCTATCGGCAACCATAATTGTTATTTCCCCTTTTGACATTGAGCTAACCTCCAATTTGAAATCGCCGGTTTACTACGAATTTTACACACTCTATAGATACTTTTTTTTTGGTCTACTGCAGACGACACTTCCCGCATTCCAAAAACGTTCGGAATGCGAGTAATGCCTCCTGTTCTTATTGGTTTTCCTCTTTTGAACGAGAATTTCTTGCAAGTTGCGTTGTAATCCCGCGTCTAATTTAAGCATTAGTATAAATAGAAATGTTCGAAACAAAAGATGTTTCTACATCTAAAGTAATAGTGACATAATGTTACCGTTAAGCTATACAAACAATGTATACACTTTATTGTCGCCACAAGAATTACTTATCAATATTACTACAGTCTTATCAGCTTTTAAATCGAAATCGGTTTGTTGTATGTTTCAACTGGGGCACTCCAATGATGAAACAAGTTGAGAGTGTTTATCAGTTGAATTGATAAAAATTATTTTATTGCAACACTTGTTTCTGGGCGTGTTTACAATGTTGTATGTTGCGAAAAGAGGATTATGACTCGCAGTTTGCGGATTGAATAACCGGTAGGTAACGTTATTTTGGTAATAATGTGATTCGTGGAAAAAACAGTCGCAGCCATGACTAAATCACATTCTCAGTTAATATATATATATATAATATTCAACGCGAATGTGTGCACTTTGCATGTGTTGGTGAATCTGTTGTGTTGCGCAAAACCAGTAGGATGATCTCATCGCGGTTGTGACCTGCCGGCTGCTGTGTGATACAAAAAATTATTTGGATGACAATTTTATTCGTAGTGTAAAAGGTTGCCGGAGGAAATTCTTGCATAATTCTTGTTTCATCATGCACAGTCGATTGTTGGGTTGTGTAATTAATTTGAAATTGATTTTTTTTCGTCTGTTGGTCTTCGGTGTGCTTCTTTAGGTTCTACCAGTTGTGCTTGCGCAATATCTTTCTGCTTGTGGGCATGTTGAGTTAAATGCTGGAGGTATTGATAAACTTGCATCTTGTGCTTTTTTCCTTTCTGCACTTTTGTGTCGGTGCAACTTTCTCTGATTTAATTATTATCGGAATAGGTTTATCCTGTTGCTGAAAATGTGATTTTTTTATATATTCGTTGTCAATAAATTTTCGAATTGTTATTATCGGTTTATAATTCCATAAAATTTTGAATAAAAATTTGTAATTTGTAAAATTACATTTAACTTGTCTTGTGCGTTATGTAGCATAACTTCATTTACGTATCAATATGATATTATTGTTTATTTTTGCTCGTTTGGCTACTTGCCAGATTCGATTGAGTTTGCTGCGTTCGATCATACACATTTTCCATTACTCACATGTTTACCGAGCTGTACGAGAAATGCTAAACTGGTTAAGCGGCTTGGAAAAACGTGCCGAAATTAAACTAGCCAAAATGATGCAAAGCGCCTTTGCGTCGAATTAAACGCACGTTCTCGATAAGCTTTATTAGGTCTTCATTGCGCGCAAATACAGCCCCACCGTTTGTGGATGTGTGTTTTTTGTGCTTCGTTGGCTTCGTTTGTAAACAGCGCGTACCAGACGCGCAGGAAGCAGCCAACGCAGACAAATTGCGCTTTTAATTTTACTGCCTCCTGACTTACTTACTCACAACGCCGACTTTGCTTAGTAAAAGCTTATTAAGTACTCGATATTTTCTGCCGCGAGGATACGATGTGCTATAGATATTCTACGAAAGTACGTTTTCATGTGCAGTTTGAAAATGTGTGCTAATTAAACGAGGTATAAATTTAATTTTTAATTATAATAACGTAACGCTGCATTAACGCGACGTAACTCGAGAGAAAGCCACAAGCAAAATTGCATCGCCATTTTCCACTTATAGATTTATCACGCTTTTTCGCTTACAAATTGCGATGAATTTGACCGGTTTTATAGTTTTATTTTGTTATGGGACATAAAGTTGTGGTGTGATGTAATTTTGGTTGGTTTGTTGTCAATATACAACCTTGATGCTCGTGCAATTAGTAATTGTATGCTTTGCGAGACGAAAATAAAATTGCATCAGTTTGCAAATGGTGTACTACAATTATAATCATATTACAATTAGGTATATCGCAGCAACTAAAATACTATATCCGTCGCTTATCCGGTGGCATTCAATTGGTGAGGTTTCGGATTTATAATGCGAGTAACTGTGCCTTTAATGGGCAATCAGGTATTAATTTTAAGCGGAGATGTAATTAAAATCGCCTTTATGGTCTCACGATAACAGTAAATGCAATTACTGGTTTTTTATATTTTCTTAGAAAGCGCATATGCAGACGCAGATGGGCGCGCTCTGTCAAGTTCTTAAGATGTTGCTGTGTCAGCGTGTGCTGTTTGCACAAATGCACATATTGCGCACGACGACGCTTACTTAACAATTATTTAACAATGCACAAGAGTGTGGTGCGAAAAGGATGGGATGACTATCTCTTCGGGAGCTTTTGCTACACACAAGCTGTGGTAATATGTTGGATGACATGATCAAAAATTCTGCTAAAAATGTTTGGGAAAGTTTTATTTTTGTTGCTAAAATTTTAGTGGGTCGCACTTCACATCGATTTCGATGTTTGTTTGGTTTACAAAGACGTTAGAAAAGTAAACAATGGCTCATGAATAATGCAAAACGAAAAATTGCAATGCGAATTTAAGTTGGCGCATCGAACGTGAACTGAATTTGTTAAATTTAAAATTATCGTCGACAATTTTGCTGGAAAGGAAGCAGCGAAAAAAATGAAAGCAGATTTATGTGCTTTAATTATTTATTCAAATGAAGAGTGAATAATAATTAACACGAGCGCATCGCACTTACATTTTCCTGTATTTTTATTTTTGTATGCGCGTGCGTGTGGTTGTGTGGTGTGCTTCTTTCCTACCGTATTTATTTTCCGTACGAAATTGCAGCGCTTAAATAAAAGGCGCGTCAATGCATCACGCCTTCGTGCGAGACGCTAAAAATAACGCGAAACATGGCGGAGAACGTGTTGCTAATGCCGAGCGCCACAAATCGACTTTTGACTTTTGCAAATAGACGACGACGCGGCTTTGCCCACATGCGGTACTTACGATTCCAATTTTCGCGACTGCACTCTATCACTGTAATTGGTCTGCCATCCGCAGGTAAATGCGAAACAACTTCATATTTGGACCTTACATTCATTGTATTGCTATAAAACAATGTGTTTATAAAAATTCTCAAGTCCACAAACTAAGTTGTTTTCGATTTTCATTTGAAGAAATGATGTCATAGGAATATTTAAACATTTTGCAATAATTGTGCACATTTAGTAGTGGAAAAACATATTTTAGGAAACATTATATGATTTTCATATTAACATTGAATGAAAATTAAACTTTTAAAAATTATATTTGGTCAATTTTGGCCACACAGCTCTTAATATTTATTTTTGGATGTAAAATATACGAGAAAATATATAAAATCCACAAATGGATATCAGCGAGTTACGTTAATAAATTAAAAATTAAATGATGCGTTTTATGGAATTTAAGTTATATTATTTTCCCCCGTCATACAACTTTATAGAATTCTAGATTTGCCGTATCGCTATGTTTATCTCTAGTTTTTGTCGTATTGCGTATTGTTTTATACTTTGCCCTGTAATTCTAATGGATTGTTTTGTGGCATTACGTTGAATTTGTTTTTATTTGTTTAAATAATGGAAATTTTTGTATTTGCGACGAGAATAATCATCGCAATATTTACGTTTATTTTGATTAAAATAATTTTTAGAATATTCCATGCATTTTAGAAATAAAATGTTGAATTTTCATTCTGGTAGATGAAGAAGTATAATATCGATAGAAATTCCATGTAAAGATGATCAAATAACTAGTTTCGAGTTGTTTACATGAATTTTAAAATTTCATTATAAAATGATGTCAGAATATATCTATAAATAAATAAACAAACTTCTTGCCTGGCACAAAGTGCAATAAAATTATATCCGATAAGAGAATGTCTCGATAAGTAGGTACATTTGGCGATACACACCATGTGTATTTGCGTATCTTTCAATAGTCAAATATACTCGCAGGTGCCTCACATGTATATCTCGTTGCAAACGCAGAAGTCACCCAGCTGTTGTGTAATTTTACTCAATTTGTAAACACTGCGTCAAGGTCGCCTGCCGTGTTGAATCTTCCGAATTAATGAGCGCGCCAAACACATTAAATGTGTTAATGAAGTGTTGATGCAATTTATATTCAGCAT